TTTGCTGCTGCTCTCCCTGCCTCACCTTTGTATGTATGCATCTATAATGGAGCGAGCACTCAGAGCAGAGTCATACCAACAAATATAACGTTATAACTGCATGAAAACAATCACTTCACTTTGAGAAAATGGTCCTGTGGGAAGTGAGGGCTGTCAGGATGTGAGTGCACAGCGCAGCTCTGTGCACCAGAGTTTAAAACAGAAGACAGGGATCTGCAAAGATCAATGTGTCCTGCCAGTAAGAATGATTATCCGTAGTTAAATGTTTCCCACCAATGTCTATTAAAGACTTAAAAGGCTAGAAAGACTTAAACTCTATCCTTTAACCCAATTAATTTAACGAGTAATGAGTTTAAGTTAACATAATTTTGGCGGGTAGCCCAAAACTCCGAGTCAAAGAGCACAAGAGAAGCTCCGATTTTAAGAGCAGAGCTGCTCTCTTTAGCACTTTCAGTGGTTTTAATCACAGGGTCCATTTATTTTGGAGAGTAGCAGACCTTAATAGATAATTTGACTCCCTGTGAAAACCTCTTCAACACTGAACATTGAAGGGTCTTTTTGGGACTCTGTCCTGCTGTGGCTCTTACACTTCTCGGTGTAAAGTGACTTTACAAACAGAAGAAGAAGAAGAAGAAAGAGTGCAGAGATTAACTTTTGATTGACTATTGACTGGACTCGGCAAAATGCAGTTCCAGCATGGGGTCTTTTGAGAAGGGAATTGGACTCATTGACTTGTAGAGGACACCCTACTGAAGTGCAAAACGTCAACCGAATCCTCCTCGAAGAATGTTTTCTTCAGCTGCAGAGAAAGGATACCAAATTTCGTGGTCGGTGGATGACCTGAGTGACGCATCAGATCTCACGAACGACCAAAATTGTTTGTTTTGGCGTTACATTTTTAAATAAACTGTTTTTTCCAAACAACTGATTTGCAAACTAAGAGCTTTGATGGGGAGGGGAGTGGAGGAGGGGGTTCAAGACTATCCAGATGGATAATGTTTGACAGCCAGTTTCACTTCCCCTCTCCTCTCCTGCGGCGTGTTTCTCCAACCGTGGATATGTGTCTGAAGCAATGGGACGACAGCCATCGCCGTTAAGAAAAAAACAGAAAGAAAAACACAATCTCTTCACCAAATTGTCGAAAAAGTTGGCTCAAACCCAAAGGCGCCAAATTATCAGCTGTGAGTCTTCTGTCCGGACAATAGTAATAATTAAATTTCCCCGTTATCGCAGGATGATATACTCTATCTGCCTGTGATAGAGCTCGGGCTTTGAGTATTTAGACAGTGTTGTTTTGGCTCGGCTCTGAATGGGATTGGATTTGTAATGAAACAATGTGGGAGGTTAACGTGAGACCCCTCATCTTCCTGAGCGTGTGTTGATTTTTCCCTCCAAACCGAGCAAACAGTTTAGACCTCCGTAAACACTCTTCCCAGAATAAGAAGGGAGAAAATGATCCAAACAAACAGCCCAAGGAAGGAAACAAGACATTTCACAAGAGCCCGGAGTTGGATGCTCTTGGAAAGTCAGAGTATCACCTCCCTGAGGCCAGACCGAAGGCAAAGACCAGAGAGAGCTCTACCCTGAAAGATACAGACACTTACTCTGAAAAATTGATATGGGTTGCTTTATTTCTTTTTTTTAACCTTGGACATATTTTTACATATTTTGGAGTCAAAGGACGAATAGGTAGCAAAAGGTACTTGACAGATTTGAGCCTTTTTGTGATTTGTGGCAAATAAAAACCAGTGAAATGTTGGGAGATCAGGTCCAAGGATCGAAATACTTCAATTAAGACTCGAGTTTGCATTCATTCTTGTTTGGATCCTTGAAATAAGAGCATTATTCATCAGGAGATGTCAAATTCTTAAAGCTCAAAGTCAGTGTTTTCACTTACTTGTAACCTTGGTTATAAAAGCGCCATATAAAAATGTTTATTATCACCACCTCTGACCTCTCACTGTAGACTTAATTTACTGAAGTGCAAAGCCAAAACACTGTTTGAGAAAATAACAGCCCCAGAGTTCAGTGTTTATGACCGAGCATTAAGAGAGACGCCATCAGACCCTTATTTTGTTCTGTTTTTCTATCACATCCTGACTGAAACCTTCCTCTGTGTGCACAGCCACTGAAAGCCTGTTTTTAATTTGTTTGGCTTTGCATGGTCATGGTCAGTGACCGGGAAAACTGCACTGTCAAACTCCTGTCTGAGCGAGCTGACACAAACCGCCGGGCAGCTGTCATGCATGCTGTTTTAAATTGAGGAGTGCTGTGTGAAGAGCCGCTAATGTAAACACTTAACGGAAAATTACCTGACTTCTGAGTGTGACAGAGACAGACAGAGCTACCTGGAGGGTCAGGGGGTTCAAGAGTCTCTGATTAAACCCGGAGAAAGTTTCTAATGAGAGATTTATTGCTGGAGAGTGAGTTTAAACAAAGGGTTGGTGTTGCAGCAACTGTGTCGAAGTGGTTTTACGCGCTGTACTGCCTGTGACCACCAGGGGCGCACATAAGAGAGAGAGAAAGAGGTTGTTTTTGTTTGTTTTTGTAGTGCAAGAAGTAGAAGTAGCTAAGAATGAATTAATCTCATATTTTATGGGCAATTTTTTTACTCTTAATTTTTGAGCTGTAGGCCACAAGAAAGTAAACAAATCATAAACATGTGAACGTAAAATAGCCTTAAAGTCGTGGTTGACGATCTAAGAAGCAGTCGAAAAAAACTGAGCCGTTAAGGCAGATTTGAAAAAAGGCGTCTCACCCCCTCACAGACAAACCTCTCACCTCTGTGCTCCACGGCACCTCCCCCCTGAACCTGTATCGCCCTCCCCACGACACACCCCCTACGCTAGCTTCAACTAGCTTCACATTTCCTCTTCGACTCCACCCTTTCTTCTGTCGGCTTGTGTTTTCTTCCCACTTTTGACGGTGGGGCGAGCAGAAGTGTTTTCTTTTGCGTCCTTCTCCATCACAACTCTTGTAGCTAAGCTGCTACGCTACTTTTAGCTGCTTAGAGCGCCGAGATGGGCCGGGAGAGTGGGAGGGGATGAGTCGGAACTATGGGAGAGGGGTGTGTTGAATACAGCGAGGTGATTGGATGTAGAGGCGGAGCATGACATTGACCAATAGGAGCTGTCCGGGACGGATGGCTCCCATTGGTCAATGTTTTTGCAGCCCTGCATCTGCTTGGGTGAATGGATTCTTTCCGTTCTTTTATATCTTCACTTTGTAGAGATCGCACTATAGGACCATGATCGCCATAGAAACGAGGTTCATAATAATTACCAATCTCTCCAATTGTCAACCATGACTTTTAAATGTATATCGGCATTTTTCCTCCTTTGGCAACTGATAAAGATGAAGAAATAAAATCACACACACAAAACAACAAAAAAAAATGTTTTTCTTTCTTTCTTTGGAAATAAACTGAAACTCCTGAATAGTTTTTTTTTCACACTTCAATAAAAAATAAAAAAATAAATATTTTGTATGGCCTCCTTTGGCCTTGACAACAGCTCACATTCTCAGTGGCGTCATTTCTACAAACTTTTCTCATTGAGTCTCCGATAGTTTCTGGCTCTTCTCACGGACTTGCTTCAGATGAGGTTAATTTGTTCTGTAGTCCGCCGCCCGCACCGTCGGCACTATCAGCTCGTATCTGTTTGTCTTGTATTCTCTCCGCCGTCACACCACACCATCTTATTACAGATCTCATTTAGAAATGTTCATTGTAATTATGTTATCAGATCTCACAGTCATTGTGCTGAAAACCAAACAAAGCCTGTCTAATTTCTTGTTACTTCATCATTATTAATGAATTAACAACATGAGGGCAATTTCGTCTCAATACTGCCGGCAACATTTTGGCTCATTTGAACCAAAGTGACAACATGACACTTGCTCTGAAAACTATCGCCTGCACACTCTGAGGCCTAAATTGTTGTCCTGGCCCAGTTGGAAGCTGACCTTGTCTCTTCACACCCCTCGCCTCTCTCTGTGTCTCTCCCTCTTTATCTGTTCTCCTTGGTCGACTCCTCTCTGTTTCCCCGCTCTGCCTCTCCCCCTACCAGATAACTTCCCACAGATGGCTCATCAGAAGCGCTTCATCGAGCGGAAATACAGACAGGAGCTGAAGGAGATGAGACGAGAGCGAGAGCGGCAGGAGAAGGAGACCGACGAGACGGAGGAATGCAGGAAGTGACAGCACCTTTTTTTGCCAATCAGGACTCCGCGTCAACATCAGGAAGAAGAGCCGCCTGCGAATGGGGCAGCCGTGCAGAGATGCTGCTGTTTGATCTACCAATTATGACTCCAGGAGTCCAACAAGAGCCTGTAGAGACACAGTGAGTGAGTACGGTGGACCTGAAGGCACAATGAATCCCTAAAACCTTCACGAATATAAAAATATTTTATCAGCCACATAAATATTTTACATAAAACATAAAAAATGACAGAAAATTTGAAAATATCTCATTGAAAATGTCACATAATCTCCTTTTTATCCTAATTTTCAAAAACACTAAAATATTTAATTGATAACACGAAAATCACTCTTTAAAAAGATGCTAAATAACTTAAAATAAACAAAAATATTTCATTAAACTAAATCTACAAAATGCAAAAATGTTTCACAACTCTCATCTCTGAAAAAAAATCAACAGAATGCAAATATTTCACGAAACAAATGAATTCATGGAGGGCAAAAATGTTTCATGGTTAGCGAAAACATTTTCCATACTTAAAAAAATTGTCAAGAAAAAACACAAAATGCAAAAATATATGAATATTAATTTTTTCTTTTCTTTTATTTAACATTTTTTGGTTTGTTTAAATACTTCGGTTCATTCAATATTTTCTTCATTCTGGGAATTTTTTTTTGTTTTGTTTTGCATTCATTCAAAATTTTTTCATCTATGACATAACAAAAAGAAAAAAAACAATAGAATGCAAATATTTCACGAAACACATGGATTTATGAAGGGAAAAATTTTTATGGTTAGAAAAAACATTTTCCATACTTAAGAAATATGTCAAGAAAAAACACAAAATGCGAAAAAATATATTAATATTAAATATTTTTTCCTTTTATTTAACATTTTTTTGGTTTGTTTAAACATTTCAGTTTATTCAATATTTTCTTCATTCTAGGAAAAAAAATTTAGTTTTTTTATTTTACATTCATTCAAATATTTTTGCATTTCACTGATAATGCACATTTGTGCACTATGTCAAACTTCTTTGTGTTTAATGAAACATTCATATACCACAACAGTTTTTTAGCATCTTTTGTACATTTTTTGTTTTGTGAATCACTTTTGTGTTTGATGTTTGAAAGGTCATAAAATATTTGTGTGGTTTACCCTTAGAGCCACATGACTTTACTGCAGTATTTTATGAAAAAAATTTGTGTTTGTTGAAGGTTTTTTGGGTTCATTGAAATGTTTTTGCAGTTTACCTCCCGGGCCACCGTACATGAAGATAAGTTAGTTTTCTCAGACTTTTAACTGTAAGATTTCTACCAAGTACGAGTCTGGTCCATGATTTTCAAAGTCAAAGTGGGACAGACAGACGGCAGACAGAGTCGGAGAAGCATCAAGATGTCTTCATGTTTTATGCTGTTAAGTTCTGTAGAGCTGTCAAAGTTGGCCTTATGTCGTCTTATGTTTGTTTGTTGTCTCGTCTTTAATAATTGAATTCACTTTTAAATGCAAAACAACAGCAGGATAAGAGCGCAGTGTACCGACACTCGCCGAATAAAGAGGAAAACGTGTTTTAATGAAGTAGGAAAGAATAAATAAAGCTGATCTTGTAAATAAAGTTTTGATCATGTTAAAAATCAGATTTATTTTGCTTTTATCACAATCCTCACCTGATTAGTTCTCTGCTAAGAGGCCTAAAACAGACTCAATTATTTTCAATAACGACAATGTCACCAGCTGTCTCACATCTGCCACTCATCCTCTAATAATCAAAATGTGGATTTCACCCCCCCTCACAGTTTTTTTTAAACCTCTCTCCAAATCCGATTGGCTGTCTGACAGATCTTAATTATAGATTGTCTAATTAACAATTTCCTCAGCTCAGTAGCCTCTGGATCCAGCTATTTAACAACAGCCGTCGTATGAATATTACTATCTGACATGTAGAGGTGGGTCTTTTCTTCTTTTTTTAATTCTGATTTATCGTAGATTAAACACACATGCATGTGGAGAGAGTAAATTTCCTGCCAGCTGCCTGTAGCTGCTCTCACACTCCAAGATAAAAGCTGAATTATTGTCTGTTTAGCTGCGGAGAAAAGACAGAGGAGTCACTACATAAGTAAATAAACCTGTCACATCATTAACCCTCTGTTTGGTCCTGATTCCTCACGATTTGGGACATGTTAAAATGCTCATGAAAGCAGAATAGGATGGTTTAAAAATCTCTTTAAAATGAAAATAACTAAAGCTCATTTAAATTCTGATACCAGTTTCTGGTCGTATTTTTGGTTTTATGATGTTATGTTCAGTTTAGCAGCAGCAGGACTCTTCTACTACTGAGCCAGACTGTTTTTATACATTAGTGCAACATGTAGTTTGGTGACTCTGAACCTGAAAAACTCTTACCTGAAAAAGTGCCTGAATGTGATTCTTAAACCTTTCCCAGGTGTGGAAATGAGCCGAGCCACGGTCACTTTTTCATCCTCATACTGTTACAGACGCTGATCCCTGGAGTTTCCATGATCTCCAAAGAGAGTGTCACATTATCAGGTTTGTTTCTGGACAAGGTTTAATCACAGAGTCTTATTTGCTCAGTACAGTTTTAAGTTGCATTTTAAGTTGTGTTTACTCTGTGGTTTTCAATCCCATGTGGTGATTTCCTCTACAGACTTAAAGGTGGGGTAGTCAGGATCTGATGAAGTGCCAGTTTTTAGGAGAAATCTTGAATATAAACTCTACCCCTCCCAACCAGTTTTTCCCCTCAGCTCCTCCTCTCCCCTCCCTCTCTGCTCCAGCAAGCCCCGCCCACAAACAGACGCTCCTGCTCACTCATATCATTCCAGGCCCAGTCAATGTGAAAGTCAAAAGCATTGGTGCTACTGTAGATGCCAACAGACTGCCAGCAAACACAATGTTTGCAGGACTTCTACAACTAGGATAAAGTGACATAGTCCAGGACCCGAGGTCTGGGGGGCTGTTTTTTGGCCTCCTTGTCCCTTTTGTGCCGAGATTTCTCCAGATTCTCTGATTCTTTTAACGATATTATGAACTCCAGATGATGAAATCCTCAATTTTTTAGCATCTTTGCACTCGGGAACACTTTCGCTGAACTGTTTGTTCACATAGGCTCTCACATTTTTATTTGTAGGCATGTTTTAAATTGATGTAATGAGTCACAAGATGTTCCTCGAGACTTTTTTTAAAGTTGCACAACTTTTTCAGAGTTTTCCAAACTTTTTTGAAACATGCTAATTGCACCAGTATCAAAACAAGTATAAAATAATGAATTCTCCGACATTTTCAACATTCAGCGTGTTGTCTTTGCTCTATTCTCCTACTAAATATCATATTCAAACCATCAGAATCTCAACATTAAACACAATTTCCCATGAACTCCTTCCCCGTCCAGCTGTTCGATCATGTTTGTGTAAGAAAACCTCACAAAGGAAGCAGAGAGGCTGATTTTAAAGATATTTAATCGTGTCATATAAATATTCAGTACAAAATATCACGTTTTACAAAGCAGATTGATGAATGGCCGATGATTCAGGGCCCCCTTACACTACCACGACCTCTCAGACTGTTTCTACATTGACAAAACTCCACTGCTCAATCACATTGTCACCAACAGAAGTAGAGGTGAGCCCCGCGGCCGACCGTTTCTACACACCAACAACCACAGATCTATCGTATGTGGAGAAAAAGAGGACATCAGCATCACCGTTTAAGCCGCTGCAACTCAAAAATTCAACCCCCACAGACGTGGCGTCGCAGTACGCTACGATGTGCAACATTTTCCTGTTATCTTAGCCGAGCACGGCGCCAGCGCTCGGAGGCAATTACACTCTCCATAGGAAAACACAAGTACGTCTCTGTAATGGCGATACGCTGACACTTTGCATGAAGACAGAAAAATAGTGAAGACCGGAGGAAGAAATGCTTTTTTTCGCAAGTGCAGCTGTCATGTTGATTTCCATTTGAGACTTCACGTTGTACCTCGAGGCAGAGAAGCGAGTGAAGGGGTTTCTAAACCCATTAAATGCTTATCACTGCAACATTGCCGCAGTCTGAAAACGGCCACTTCCACAATAGGAGCTCCGGCAACAAGCTAATAAAGAAAACAAGGGGGCAACGTGTACACAATCAGCGAGCATAAAGAATTTTCCAACTATTGTGTTTTTTATCAATTGGATTGTTTAATGTGCTGCATCACGGCTGATGTGGAGCACAGAGAGAAAAAGTGGCAATTATGCTGTTGTGTTTTGTTATTACTGTTTCAAATGTCTGATAAATGTCAGCCTCTTCACAGGTTGGCCTTTCGCTAAAGTGAGGGCACAGCTTGTTTTAGCCTCCTGTTGATATCACACTCCAACCAGCCCACTTATTTTGAAATATTCATATTCCGGAGGTCTTAAAGTAATTTGACGATATTGCTTTTTTTTTTTTTTTATATTTGTTTTTGTGTTTTTTTTCCTTGAATCGCATTAAAAAGCTGGACTGATGAGCGCGTGTGTGCGTGTGTGTTGTGGCTGCAGGATAATGTCCTGACCTTCTCTCTGAGCCGAGGACACACCTCTGGGTTTAAGAACCTTATTCCTCGACGCTCAAAGGTCAGGTGCTCCTTGATAAGCCTCCTTTATGGAGAAAGCTGCTCGTCCCTCAGGAAATCAGTGCGGTAAAGCCTCAACACTCAGACTGGCTTTATGTTCAAGACTACATACAGTACATGTAATGAAGGGAGGCGGACGGAGTACAGAGAGGGGATAAAATACTGGTGTCCTTCGCTTTTTGGCACATTCCCACGACTGCGGCGGCGCTTTGTTCCGTTACTTTACATTCAACCGTGCAGGACAGAGCCGCTCTTAGGACCCGAAATCATCAAAACAAGTGCAGGCTTCAGTCTCTTGTGACATGTTGACCTTTGTGGATCAGCTGTCTTTTGTTTGCAAATCTACATTTTTAGAAAAATTGAAAACCAAGTTCTCTGAAAGCAGCTTTAAACTCGAGTCGGCACGTTTCTCTGCATGTGAAGCTTTCACAGAGGTCCAGTGGAAGTGCCCTGAAGAGCAGGGTGACCATACGTACCTCCTCTTTTACCCTCTTTTTGGGGGGCTGTACGCACGTATGGAGGAGTTTATAAAATCCTTCAAATGTCCGGGGTTTTGTATAGAAGTTTTGAGTGGACTAACTGAGCTAGAATTTTGCACGTGACTCCGCCCCGCGTAGTAGTGTCCTCTTTTTAGCAATTCAGAGTTAGATCACCCTACCGAAGAGATTACTTCCTGGTTGTTTCAACGAAAACTAAAACTCGGACAAACTGAAGAGTGTAAAGAGACTCAGAGTTTAATCAAAACTGAGACTAGTTTAGTTTATACAGCTAACTGTAGATCACAGTGTCTGATAACTGATGTCGGATCGGTTTATTTGGGTGTGTGTCGACCTTTAGCAGAGCGAGCATCAGCAGCTTTTGGATTTTCATGCAGATTAACAATGTCAAACTTTGGTTCTGCATTCTCCCAGCTGAGTAATACCAGTTTAACCAGACGCACATGCAACTTTATCTCCATTTGACTGCAAAAAAACCCTCAATTCTTGGTGTTTTTTTCTTTCTTGTCTTATTACGCCTAATTTTTGCCAATTTCACATCACAAATTGTGAAAAAAATCTCTTATTTTCAGGAGATTACACGTCCAAAGTGAGATGTTTTCTTTCCTTCGTTGTTTTTAGGATTTACTTTCTTGAAATAAGACATTTATCTCGATTTGTCAGGTAAATGTAGATGAAAATCCTTCATTTTTTACCGGCAAAGATGAAGATTTGAGATCCAAATACCGACAAACCGCATCACACTACGATGCTTGTCTGAAGACATACGTTTAAAAGATAACGAAAATCCAATAAGGCCAACATGTCTCGTTATAAAGGGTCCATTTAAAGAGAAAAAGGTGTTTTGTTTATACTGTATGTAGGAAGAGCCTGAACTAAAAGGAGCTCCTGCAGACTCTGAGAAAGTCACTGACATTTATAGGAAACAGGGCGAGGGAGAAACGTTGTCACGATGATGATCATGTGACCTGTTCAGGGAAGTTTTAGCTGCAGTTTCACAGCCGCTCATGTTTTTGTTACTGTTATAGTTTTAGAGTCTCTCAGCCATGTCTTACTGTACGCACGTGTTCCAATAATTTAAGGCAACTATCTCGATCATCTCCTCCTCCAACGTCACACTGTGTGAAATGACAGTCAAATTTTGAACATGTTTAATTTTCCCATTAGTGTCAGTCACTACATCCATTTCAATTCCACTTTCTTGTATTCCTTAATCACCCGAGCAGATTAAATGAACCATTTAGGACAAGAAAATAAAATTGCATAATGAATTTTAACAGCAGCCCTCCATTCATTCTGATTTGACGCCGTGCTTTTCGAGTCTGGTGGTGTTTTTCAGCAGCGGGAGCCGCTCTGACTTTGACTCGCACCTGCTGCACAGAGTGACACGTTTACACATTTGTAGAGGGGAGGAAGCGTAAAAGTCCCAGCAGGACCGGCATTTTCCTCTAACTGAGCCGGCTGCACATGAGATTGGTGATTTTTATCAATATATGATAGAAAATAACACTGTCCCGCCGAGTTCATTTCTCAGCCAAAGAGTCGGCCGCACCTCGGAAATGTTTCTGAAGACATTCAGCTCGATAAAGAAATATTTGGTATTTTCGGCTCACTTCACAGCGAATGCTCCAAAGCTGTGCGGAGATGAAAACTCAAACTCAGGTACAAAAACAAAAGACAAAAGGTATTTTTATTGTGGCTGTAAAATCCACATCCTTCCATCGCCACTTATCATCAGCAATGTGCAACAACTAGAGTCACATTTCCACCTAACACACCGAAGAGCTAAAGGTCCTTACACACCGGGAACGACGCAAATATACAACGCGAAATTTTGACGCACCTGACTGTACACATCAAGCGTGATGCGATTTTGCGACTTTCCGGGGGGAAACAAGACGCAGACCACCTCCCCCATAAACGTAAGGTAACAACCGAGACCTGATGGTGCTGAGACAGTGAAAATACATATGGTATGTTGTATCTGAACAGGTTAGCTTATGAGCTAAAGTTACTTAGCACAGATGAAAGTTAAAACAAAGACGTTTAGCAAACTGTTAAAGCACACAAACCATCGTCATATGAGAGATCCGACGCTTTGACTCTCCACAAGTTGTCCTTCAGGACGTTTTCTTTGTAATATTTGTGTCTTTTATCAAAAATCACTCTGTTCTCCGACACGTAAACAATCAGCTGGTCGAATCTGACGTCGCAACAACACGAAATCTGATTGGTCAGAAGTGGACACACAGAATATTAAACTTTAGAAAATTCGACCGTGATACGCAAATATAAACGCCACGATATCGGACGGGAAAACATCGCTGATGTGAACGCTTGTATTGACAGGATACGAAAAAAAATATTGACGTCGGAAATAATCGCACGACAAAAACGCTCTTGGTGTGAAAGGACCTTTAGTCCCCGGAAACAGAATTCCAGGAACTGTTTCTTTAGACTCTTTTGGGTGAGTCAGCCCGCTGGAATATGAACATGTTTTCACACCGAATGCTCCTAAGAGATGATTTGGCGCTGTAAGCCCCACCCCCAAAAGTCATGGTACTCGTATACCCAGTTACGATGATGCGAACCTCTACCGTCCAATCAGTGATGATATTTCTTATTTTTGAAGCACTTCCAGATGGAGCTAAGTGGCTAATGTGAGGCCGCCATTGCTGAGAGGAGAAGGGGGCGGGGTCATCTGGACCATAGAAATCCCTGTAAAAACAAAACAACTGTACAGCGTAATGTTTCATATTACCATACGTACACAAGCTAAGATAGAACTCACAATATGCAGCATGTTGTTGTCCCAGAAACACTGAAAAATACATAGGCATATCTGTTGGTTTACAAAACTGCTCGTTGAAAGTGTCCGTCGCACGCAGCTTTGGAAAAACGAAAAAAAAAAGAGAGAGAGAGAGAATGTCGGTTTAGATATATTTGGGCGTTTTGTTTACCCATGTACACACAAAAAAAAGTCTGTTTTTACTGCACCCTCGCAAAAACGCAACTAACACTGACTGGACACACAAAGCCTACGTCTGGTCACCTGGAGGGACAACTGAACGGTGATCGATGGCGGTGAAAGAGCTCAGCGCTCCTTTCTAGGTCCTTTTTCGCCATTTTCCTTGCCACACATGAGCCAGAATTGCCCGGGTGTTTTCAACATTTCAAATATCTTTCCTCGACCGTGTGCCACGCTCTCGGTTAGGAATCCCTGTCACTGTCGTCGCCGCCGTACATGTCCGCCAGTTTTTTAAACCGCGGTCCCCACTCGCTCAGGTAGTTGTAGTCCTGGTCGCCCTCGGTGGTCACCGACTCAAGCGAGCTGAGGGACTCGGCTACGGAGCCGTTTCCCTCGTAGGCGTAGGTGGCGAGGGAGTCGTAAGGCGGCGCCGTCGGGTCGCTGTCGTTGTCCTGGAGCCTCTGGTTGATAAAGTCTCTCACGTCCCCGTTATTGTCCCGAGTCGGGGGTGCAACAGGACGCCGAATGGGAGGGTAGAAGGTCTCGGGGACGATGTCTCTCCGCTGCTTGCTCTCCTCGATGGCCTCCGGGTTCCGCAGCGTGCCGATATCAAAGGCCTGCGTGTCCTCCTCTCCGCCGCCTTCATCGTTGTAGCTGACCACGTTGTCTCTGACGTCCTCTTTGGAGATGATCAGAGGCTCCTTCTTCCTCTGTCTCCTCAGGGCGGCGAACAGCACCACGATCACTGCAGGGAGGAGAGAAAACAAAGAAGGAACAGAGTTGGGTGACTTTAGCTGTTGTTTCTTCGCTCCTTCTCCTTGTTCTGAAGGCCAGCCGGCGTCCGGGGGGAATAGTCGATGTTGCATGAGCGTTCACTGATGTTCAGGGACTTTGTCTGACTTTGTAGAACAGGCTGAGCTACCACGAGGATGCATTATGTATTTTCTCTCTCCTCGGGGCCACTGCTACTTAGGATCACAGAGGATTGCAGAGACGGAGCGTTGTTTGCTAGAAACACAACGTGGCGCCATGACATAGATGACACTCTGCTCATCACCTGGATCAGGTCAGATGGAGCGTTAGCTGCTAGACAGACTGAACACGGAAAAACATATTCCTCTAGCCGAATGCAACGCAATTTAAATAGAATATAAAAGTCTGGGCCATCTGATCTTCACCTTGTTCTTAAACCGGCACCTTTCAAGGAAATATTTTGTAGGTCTCTTTTACGAGCTCCATACTTCTTAAGGCTTCAGAAATTGAATATAAGCCTTTCATGGCGCCGACATAACTTTCCCTAAACTGCAGTTGCTTTTTTATCCTTGAGAGGACAGCTTGTCAATACTCTGAGATGATTGAGGAGCACTAAAACATCTGTGCTGTGAAGGGACCTGCTCGACAGGTAGTAAAAAACGCTCCCTGAGCTAATGCAGCTGCAGCAGGAAATAGTTTTATCTATAAATAACAGCTGTCTTTTTCTCTTCTGGTTTAATCTGTTTTTTTGTTTTTTTCTCTGAGGACTTGTGCTTTTCTGACGTGAGATGAGTCGGTCCGTCGCAGTGTCACAGCTCATGTCATGATTGTTAAGGACAAAAAACTCATTGTACTTTTGCGTTTTGTGTCGAAAACTTTGATGAAAACAACAAAATCGAATAAATTGAGGCGAGGTGGCTGTCCTCTGTTTGTGAAAACATGCTTTTATTTTGAAATGTATATCTGTCATCTCTTAAAGATGACCTGAGCTGAAGTGAAAGCTGTAGCAGTGAAGTCTAGCTTTAGCGTCTCAGTTTGAGTCGAGTGGTGGTCTGTTCAAAGGTGCTTTTATTTTGAAATGACATATACACTGTCAGCTAATGGCAAGTCAGGACAAATGTTTTTTATAGACTATATAGTCATGCTTTTACTTTGAAGTGACACTAAAATTACCGTATAGCTGCAAGAAAGAATAATTGTTAAATTTCAATTATTATGAGAAACATGCTTTTACTTTGAAATAACATTTACAATACTAACATATAGGTAGACAAATCGAATGATGTATTTCACAAATTGTGTAAACATGCTTTTATTTTGAAATGGCATACACAACACCAACATATGCCGAGACAAAAAAGTTTTAGTCCATGAATCCTAAAAAATTAGTTTTATTTTGAAATGCAAAATTACTTCCAATTACCTAAAACAAAGGTTTTTTGATTGCACATGTTGCAAAATTATGCTTTTATTTTGAAATGCTATTAAAATTTTGTATATATAAATAGACAAGGAGAATGTTTTATCTCATAAATTATAAATGTGTGCTTTTATTTTGAAATGGTGTAGATACTACCTGCACAAAGCTAGACAGAAATAATGTTTTAGTTCATAAATAATGAAGGTTTTTATTTTGAAACCAACTATGCCAAAGAAAGAATAAATGTTTGCTTTGTTGTCTTGTTAAACATGCTTTTATTTTGAAATGGTATGTGCAACACCTGCATATAGCTAGATAGAAAGAATATTTATTTCATGAGTAGTAAAAACATGCTTTTATTTTGACATTACTTCTACACTCTTGCCTAACAGGTCATAAAAATGAATGTTTAGTTTCGTGTAAAGTGTCAAAGTTTCTTTTATTTTGAAAGGTAATAAACTAAACCATTAAATAGCAAGAAAGTTCAGATGTGGTTTCTGGATTTCCAGTCAGTCTTGGACCATCAGTTTGACCATCTTCTGGAGGGATTCTTAGATCCCTCTCAGGGTTCTGTTTGTCGGACCAGCACCAAGATTCTGGGGCGTTTGGAGAAGAGGATTACACGTAACAAAGGGTCAAGGTCATGAGTCGAACTGGCGACTTCTTGGACGAGGACTTTATGTATTTTCTCGGCCTGCTAAACCACACCTGTGTCTTTTTGAAGCAACAAGTGCGGCTCTTATAAAACACCATCTTCCCTCCCCCGGCTGAGATGCTGCAGATATTCGCTGCCTGAATTAAATTAACATGTCAGCTGTGGTCACCGGCAAATTCTTCCGCCCACAGGAAGAAATGAATCAATTTAAACGGTGAAATACAAACCTGTCTCTTAAACACCTGTGAGAGGAGATTTAGCGATAAATAGACGGACGCGCTGGAGTGTATCGCTTTAAGAAATCAAATTTTCAGTCAAGCCATCCGGCTGAATATGGATCATATTGGAAAAACAAATGTTTGCATGATTGAGCCGCAGCCACATTTGGTATTCCTCTCATGCGGAGTGTGTACTCACTGAGCAGAATGATGACACAAAGCAAAATGGCCACCAGGGCCCCCGTGCTGAGCCCCGCCCGCGCCGTGAAGGCCTCGGCGTTGCAGAGCTTCATGTTCCCCTCGCGGTCGCACGTGCACACTCTGATGGTCAGCGTGTTGGTGCTGCTCTGCATGGGGAAGTCTCCGTCTGAAATCACCACCGGCACGTGGTAGATGCTCTTCTGCAGGCTGTTGTAGCTGTTCCTCCGCGTCAGGATCCAGGCCGTGTTGTCTGAAAACATCGAGGTATCCGGTTACAACCCAGCAATCAATAATCTGAAAGAAATGTTCAATCAAGTCTGCGAGGAATTTCATTGAGTCTGTGAATGTGCTTTTAGTGCAGCGTGGAGAGAAATCGCATCAGGATCTTTACAGCGGTGGATGGGTAACCTTAACAACAGGTCTAAGTGCCTTATGGGAACATTATACAGAGGATCAGAGTTAATCCGATGACCGCAGAGTCTGTATCACCTTTGTTATCACGGACTGAGAAGTTGGCTTTCCCAGCAGCCTCCTGGGCCAGACTGAAGAAGAATCTGTGTCCCGCAAGAGGCTCGTCGGGATCCGTGGCGCTTATGGTTTGTATCCTCTGAAGCAAGAAACAAACAGGTGAGTAAGAAAATGAGAAAACTCGATTCAAGCCGTCGCTCCAACCAGAAAATAATGTTTGATCTGCCAGGAATCATTGGGCAAAGCACAACGCTTTGGTGGTCAGTTTTGAACAGATGCGGTGACTTTCACTGCAGAGTCACGTCTGTTTTTAATCCACTCATCACTGTCCCAACTTTTCTAAACTTTTCTCTCGTCGGAGCATGAGGGCGTCTAGTTGAGGGAGTAAAGCTGTAAATTAAGTCGTAAAGTTACAAAAATAAAATCGAAATCTAACGAGAGTGAAGTGTGCTCGAAAAATCTTTATGCAGGGGTGCTGACACTATACAACAGTAGAACTATTGATTAATACTGGAAGATATTAATCATTCATAACAATAAAAATTCACCAAAATTATAAAAAGGCACATTTTCCTAAAACGGCTGTTGTAGTATGAAGAGTCCCTTGGTGTGTTCGGTGATTTTAGGGTCTCTCCTGTTTAACAGCGGCTATATTGCGGCGTCTTGCTCTTGTATCGTAATTTGCAGACGGTCCCTGCGCACTCGCTCGGCTACCAGCTGCCCATAGAGATCAGTATTATTCATCCAGCTTGAAGAACGGCAAAACAAATCAGTTTTTGATTCTTGTAGCCAGTAGTCTGTGCTATTACGACATGACAGAGGCGTAATTTTTGTCTAGACAACAATTCGTCTCAGAGTCTTTCCAACTTTACCAAACTTTTTCCCACTGCTGCCGTTTATAAGCTTTCCGGCGCACGACACACAAAAACAAACACTTGGCTCTTTCAGTTTTCAGCACCAGCTACCAAGAGGCTTTCCATCTTTTCCAGCCTCTTCCGCCCGAGCCCAGCTTCCAATATTGCCGTTTCTTCTCTTGGATTGATGTACCTAGCATCCATCATTTGAAATTTACCGCTTGGTGGTTGTGTTTTTCTTCTTCCACTTCTTGTTTTTCTCCGGCAGGATGTACACTATCCAGCCTACCTGTCATATTCTGATCTAACTAACTAAGGTTTTTTAATAATTTATTTGTTTGTTTGTTTGACATGATTTAGGAAAAAAAAATCCTGAGATAGATTTCCAGCACCGTGCCGGAGGTCTTCAAGCCTTGTTGTAATCTTACATCAATAAAGTCGCAGTAAATTCACAGTATTTCAGATGTAAAGTGTCGATAAAGGTTTAAAGTGAGCAGTCAGAAATGGCACTTAAAGCTCCTGTACGAAATCTTTGGGTTGTGTCGACTTTGGCGCCCCCTTGTGGACAGAATTTTTACTTCTCTTGTCTGCTACTTGCTTAAGTATGGATTTATCACATTATGTCATGTGTTTTATTTATTGTAAATAAACATAAAAATTATTTAAAAAATAAGACTGCTTCATAGTTTCAGACAAAAACAGTTTTAAAAATTCAGTCTTGTTTACTTTTGTGTGTTATTAAAAGTCATGAATATCTATAATATGTTTTGTCATAAATACAATTAAAATAAAATACTGTTTTAGGAAAATCCAGTGAATTAAATCTCTCAGTTCGCACTTTTCGTGGTCGTCTCATAGAAGATGTCCTCATGTCGGCTGATACCCTCGTTGTAAACAATCTCATTAACGTGAGTATCAACAGCTGAGGCTTGTTAGCGGCTGTATTTGCATATTAATGGTGACATCAGCTGTTGATTCAGCCTAAAGTGATAGTTTGGAGTTTGGGGATTTTAAAAAGACAAACTCTTCATCACGAGCTGACAAGTCATAAAAGCCAGCAGCCCTGATGTTTGGTTTGCAGGATTTCTCGTCTTGCATCAGTAAATATAATAAAAAAACGTCTCAGTGATGACGGCAGGAGTATTTTACCGCCCTGCTCGGTACAATTCTGAGAGAAAACAGATTTTTATCACCAACAAATTTTGGTTTTATGCAACTTGAGCGAACTATTTACTTTTCCTCCTCTAGATTTTGGGGGCAGATGCAGTTCATATTAGCATTATTATTGTTATTACTATTACCAGTACAAAACTGATGCCAAACCTCTGCAGATTTAGGTCGTTACAAGAAAATAAATACTGATTTATCCTCCAAAGTAGCTCCCTTTATATCAGCTGCAATATAGTAAGGAGTCTGGAATCAAACAGAGTGTCAGGGACCGTCGACATGTGTTTGAGGAGAGTGTAATAGTTGAAATGCACCTTTAACAGCCTCTCCTTAGAGCACAGTTATCTGATTGTTCCTGCACAAACATCTAATGAAGTTTGGGTCAAATTCAGACGACAATAACAATCTTAAACTCATCTAATCTTGATTATTTGAAATTCAAGGTTTTAAAGATTAAATTCTGTGTTATCTGCTCAAAACTCTGGTGAGAAACACTTGTTTTTAGTCAGTTTTGGCGCCCCCTGTGGACAAAGCAGTGCCTCTTACATCTTCTCCTGTTTTTGTTTAACCAAAAAATCACATCCTGCTTTATTCTGACAGCAAAATCAAGGTAAAAACCCGGAAAAATTCAAGAAGAAGGAAAGTGTGTCAGACATGATTTGTGGACAATAATAATCAGATTAAGGTACATAGTGTGGCAGCGTTATGTTAGCTTTAGTAGCTGTCTTTAAACACCATTAAAGAATCCACTTAATGTTGTTTTACTGACTTATTTCCGACCTGAGCCTTTTCAAATCCTGATTAAAAACGTATTTATTTATGCTGGCTTTTAATGCCCTGTAGCGTGGTGACTCTTTATTCTTTTTTTATTGCTTTTTATTGTTTTTATTAATTCATTTTTATTTACCATGTATTGAAAAGCACTTTGGTTGTTGTATAAATAAAGAACATTTACGTTTACATTCATACAAGCCAAACTGTCTCTGAACTCAAGAACCTCTGTGGTGAAAATGTAAAACAAAAAAGCCGTCTCAGCAGGATGCAGTCTCTAACTTTATTTAACATCCACCCTCCAGCAACATTTTCTTCATATAAAACCAAAGAAGAGCCATCGTTATGATGGATTTGATTTTGTAGGCCGTAAAGAAACATTAGTTTTAGTTTCAGTCTGTTTTATAACCAGCTAAAAACTCCTTACAGGATCTTTAAGTAAAAGTCGAAACATGACCTGCAGCGGAGGTTTTCCTCTTTTTGCTCTTGGAGCAGCAGACGTGCTGCTTTGACTAAATGATGAGCACCAGCTGTCTGTGCAGACATCAGACGATGATTATGACAGGAAGTAGATTAAAAAGTCAGAGTTGAGGTCATTACACTTCCTGATAAAGTTTATTTGGTTTGGATGTAAAATTAGAAGAAACTAGAGGCTGTTTCTTTCTGGACTGTCACTGAATTTGGAGTTTTAAACGACAAACTGAGACACATCAGCTGTGTGAGCAGACGCACATCCTCAGAGTCCTGATAAAACCATGACGACGGCTCTGTTTTCAGTGGTACTAACCTGATTAGCTTTAGCGTTCTCGCACACAAACGTCTCGTAATTGGTGGCGAACGTGGGAGCGTTGTCGTTGACATCCAGCACTCTGATGTAAACAGGCACTCGGCTGATCTGTCGAGGGTTAGCTGGGAGACACAAAGGTGCAGAAGGTGAATTTACACCGAGAAATACCGCAGGCGAAATGAAGCGTTTCCATGCGAACTGTGTGAAAATGTCATCAGATGTGAGAAAAGTGTAATTAAGAAGTTTGTGTTACATTTACACAGACAAACAAATGATGAATGACGTGTCAGAGGAGTTCAATCACTCCCATTACAACGAGAGTTAAGGTCATGTTTATGCTTTAATTAGTCTCTGCTTGTACTCCACATGATGGATATGTCTTATAGAATAACCGCTCTGATTGGATTAAAGGCCAGTTTCTGAAGAAGATGCGGATCCGCAGGATCTGAAGTGAGTTAGACAACATGTACAGCTGCAAGAAACCTCGAACATAATAAACCATAAAAACCTCTGCAGAGACAAGTGAATCACTGCAGTAAGGGCCTATGTCCACTGGCTGCTATTCTCCAAACATACCAATGTAGCATCCAAGGCCTTTTTGTTGCCATACTTAATTATTATTGGAAATCCTACTTGTTTAAATATCGGCTCATGTGCACAAGTAATTCTCCGTCACCACAAAGTAATTATGGTTTGCTTACCGTGCTCAAAAATTCAATTATCTTGCACCAATAAGTTATTTATGTTGTGCAAAAAAAAAAAAGATGTGCAAACAAGATTCTGGTGTGAATGAGTGATTATTCTACGCAGACGATCATCATGTGTGAACGAGTAATTGGCTGCTGCAAACAGGTGATTATCTTTTGCCTGAAATGTGTCAGTTTTTATCCGGTTAGTTCTCTTCGTCAGATTTTTTAATCAGTATTTCGTGTGTAACATGAGATATTTAAAGCTACTCTAGGTAATTTTTTTACTGTTTTGAAACAGACTCAAATTAATTATAATGTGGAATAACAGGATTCTGCAGAAACAGCTGTTATTCTACCCAATAATTGATCAATTTAAACACTTGAAGAAACAAGAATGAGATTTTTTCTTGTGTAACTTTGTAAAAACACGATAATCAGAGTGATCGGAGGTACGGCTTCGATAAAAATAGTAACAGTGGAGTGATTTCCGTCACTTTGTATGTTTTTCTTGCTTAGTTGTAGCTCTACTGTTTATCTCTGAAGGCACAGTTATGTTGTTGTTAATAAAGCAAATCAGTGGTTGTCAACTGGTGGGTCCCGACCCAAAAGTGGGTCCCCGACACGTTCTGGATGGTCAAAAATGTAAATATAAAACTGGACTCATACCACCACTTTTTTCTGGTACTTAAATTGTGTATATTGTACATAGTTTTATTTTCTTCTCCCTTTTTCCTTTTTCTAATTTTTTTTAAATTATAACATTTAAGTTCTTAATATTACGATCTTTATTTTTATAACTGCATTTTTGCACTATCTTTGTCTGTGATGCTGCTGTGGCAAAAAAATTCCCCCATAGGGGATCAATAAAGGAATATTCTATTTAATATTTATTAGATATTTGATATTTTCTGTATATGAAACTTTAGTAGTTGTTGTCCTCATGTTGTCCCTTCAAGTCCTCTGAAGTGCACTTTACTCAATAAAACAAGTGGATTTATGTTAAAGATTAGAGTCTTTAAAGGTTTTGTAAAATAAAAGAATAAATTTGCTTGGTTTTGAATTTTATAAAAGTGGGTCGTGACTCAAGGACCAGAGGAAAATGTGGGTCCCAGAGTGAGACCAGTTGAGAACCACTGAAGTAAATAAAAAGACATTTAAAGCTGCTGTGAGGAATTTTTGATTTGAGTCCAGTGTGGACAAAGTCAAACCTCATATCTGTTGGCTTTTTATGTGTGAAATTCAAGTTTTTTGACTAAAATTTCATCTTTCCGCTCTGAAACTAGTAATAAGCTCCTTATCGTACCTTTTAAAGCTATTTTACCTGGTTTTCGACATGTATTTCATCTTTAAATTACACGGTTTGATCATCTCTCCTGTTTCTACAACGACACAAACTAACACCAAATCATGAGCAAAGATCAGAGAGAGAACTGACAAGGACAGCTGGACTAATTTGTCTGAGTCATAGAAACAGAGCAGTCAGAATTGGCACGCTGAATTTATCATGTTAACAAGCAGACAAAGTGTGTTCTCATAATAATTCAGTCAATTATGGAGAAAAAACTGGATTTAAAGTGAATCAGTCTGTAGTTTTCTGTGCAGATGGTCTTGTTTTGGGTATTAACGGTATTTGTTTGTCTTACAGGAGTCCAACTCAAACACCTCCAGGCGAATCGAACTCCTCCGTCAGAATAAGGGAGCAGAGATGTTTGTGTGTGCGATGCTGCTGGACTTACTGAACTCGGTGGCGATGACCGAGATGTTGTGCCATGGGTTCTCCTCTCTGTCCAGCTCCCTGAGGATGAACACTGACCCGTTCCCGGCATGGATGTTGAACACTCTGTCCATGTCTGTGCGCCGATCGATGGTGTACCTGCACAGAGCAAACACACAGACACGGGCTGTGGAGGTGTGCTGAGTTTCCCAGGTGAGGGGTGCAGGGTACAGTCACTTCTGAGCGAGTTTGTCAGGTGTGAACCAGAGTGAAAACAGTCAGACTCACAGGTGACATTCTGCTGGAGGTACTCAAAACAAGCCTGACCGAGCATGATGGACAAGTCTGCTCTCTGGCATTAATTTATTTCTTTTCCATTCAAACACAAAGTTGCTTAAAGGAAAAACATGTATTTTAGCATCAATCAAAGCAGCAGGTCGGAGCTGATGAAAAGCAGACTTTGTTGAAGCCTGTAAAAGCTGCTTCTACCTGCACAAATGCCAGAAAAACAAGCTGCAGGAGTTAATAAACAGCACCTCGAACAAATTAAGACTTTGGAGTTCATGCACACCTCTGTGCTTTTGATTTAAGACATGATTTCACAGACTTCCTTTAAGTAAATTACATCAGAGATCTGTACTAACCCAAGGTTGTTAGTTTACAGATCCAGTCAGATAGATAGATAGATAGATAGATAGATAGATAGATAGATAGATAGATAGATAGATAGATAGATAGATAGATAGATAGATAGATAGCACAAGGAAATTAAAAAAGTGCCTTTACAGCCACTGCATTAAAAAGGACGATAAAATATTAGACAGTTAAACCAGTGCAGAGTTAAAACTAGTAAAAGAATTAAAACTGCACTGATATTAAGGACTTTACCCTCAGTTTTTACCGCATCCGGAACAGCTACGAAAAGGCCGTATACGCCTATCGCAGCTGACCGTAACCATTCAAGTTAAAGGGATATTCAAGCGAAAATAATTTAAGGTCAAACACGCCGCAACACCGAGTTAGACACCCCTAGAGAGATGAATGTTGTCGACCGCTTGATTCTCTAGTTATACCAACTTTAGTAACGACCGCAGGATAGAAATACACAGCGGTCTGAGGAGCCATAAACAAACCTCGACCAAAACGCCACTCTATAGCCACAAATAATGCTCAGAACAGCACCTAACTTCATCAACAGGACATATAGGGTCACAGCCATAGTACTAAACACCAAACATCTTTTTAACTTTGACTCATTTCTTTAGCAAAGAGACTAAACACAACTCACCTACTCTCTTACAGGCCAGTTCATCACCGACTACAGTGGGGTGTCGCAGCTCAAGGAAGAACATTTATGATAATTTCGAAATTCGCCTCACAAACCGATCTGGTAGGAATTGGCAGATGGCGATAATCGCTGCCGTTCCGGATGCGGTGGAAATTTGGGCTTTGCGTTGCCTGAACTAGCACTCAGGCATCTCTCTGTTTATCCTGATTTCTATTTAATAAAAAAACTCCTCACTGGATCTTTATTTTGATCTAATCCAGATTTTTATGTTGTCATAGTCGACTCAAACATCTGAGCAGGTTAGACCTGATCTACCTGCGTGACCCCTGACCCCTACAGCGAAGTCTATTAGTCGTGATGCTGGTTACTGACCCCCTAACATGTGCTGTATACCACAATCTCTGGTGCTAACGGTGCTGAATAGTCTGTCCTGTGGTGTTGACAGATTTATGTAAGTGATTGCGTTGCTGCACACACACACACACAAACACGTGCTCTTGTGCACACCCGCACACACGAGCCAACAGGTTATCCAGTCGTGTTGTTTTTCTCTGCTTCCCGGACTCCTGTGATACATCAGTGTGATTAATGGAGAAGCAGGCATCAGGAGGCCTGGCGTTAGAGAGGAGGAGACCCCCGAGGGGAGACTATGAACCTGGGCTCTCAATGCACCGCTGCACCTCTCTCTGCTGATCCTCCTCCTCCTCCTCCAGCCCCTCCCTGCTCCTGCATCAACCATTTTAGTGTCTTTATCTAAACACTCCCTCCCCGTCTCTTCCTTCCCTCTCCTCTCCGCTCCCAACACCTCGCCGGCCCCGACAGTAACTCTAACCTCGTTAAATCCGCGTCGGTCGTGGGCTTTACTAATTGCTTTTCTAATATTCCCAATAATTCAGCCGGCTGGGCCTAACCCTTCCCCTGATTAATGGCAGAGAGATAACAGCGCGCCTCGTCCTGACCGGGCATCGAAAGTGCTGCACTCAGCAGGCAGGCAGCTGGCAGGACGGGAGGCCGGGCAGAAGGACGTGGAGGGTTACAGAAATGTTGGTGATCAGCGGGTTGGGACAGATATCCTCTTTCCTCCCTACAGGAGCTATACATACTGCGGGCACACCTCTGCGTTTTCAGGTGACACTTTTCAAGAACAAGAGTCAGCGCAGCTCCAGTTTGAGAAAAGCGGGACCAGGTCAAGGCGACAGACACTTTGTCCTTAAACAACATTTAGCGTCTGAGCTGTGGCTCCTGATTATGTCAAATTATCTTCATCAACATGTTGTAAGTGGTCTATTATTGGATTAATAGAAGCAACGAGTGCAGGAGTGTCTTTGACCTTCATTTACTCTCAAATGTCTGACAGAGCTAGCACCACCAGCTTTTAGTCCTTTTACATGTCTGTTGCTTTTGTCGAGATCATGCAACTTAAGGTCAAAAACCACCAAACATGACATGTCATCTGTCACCTGGGCTTGTTAATATGCGGCTACAGCACGGGGACAACATACGACCAGCATTTCAGGGGCACAAAGTGATGCTGCGTCCAGGACCTTAAGTCCCGGACCCATTTGGTGCACACTATTTATCACTCTGGTTCTCTTTAGCTGTTCTATCAGGCTTAAAAGCCCCCCCACCCCCTAAAAAAAATCCACAATTAAATCAAATTATGATCAAAATAATTGACTGATAGCAGCATTTACTCGTCATCGTTTTCTTTCGCTAATCTGGGGCCGGGTTGCAGCTTCAGGAGGGAAGCCCAGACGGCCCTCAACCCGGCCACTTCCACCAGCTCCTCCTGTGGGAATTCCAAGGCGCTCCCAGGCCAGGCGAGAGATGTAATCCCTCCACCTGGTCCTGGGCCGGCCACGAGGTCTCCTCCTGGTGGGACATGTCTGGAACACCTCTAACGGGAGGCGTCCAGAAGGCGTCCTAACCAGATACCTGAGCCACCTCAGCTGACTCCTCTTGACGTGGAGGAGCAGCTGTTCTACTCTGAGCGCCTCCTGAGTGTCCGAGCTCCTTACCCTATCTCTAAGGCTGAGCCCAGCCACCCTGCGGAGGAAACCCATTTCAGCCGCTTGTATCCGCGATCTTGTTCTTTCGGTCATTACCCAAAGTTCATGGCCATAGGTGAGGATCGGGACGTAGATCGACCGGTAAATCTTTCTTCACCACGACAGATCGGTTAAGCGTCCGCATCACTGTTGACGCCGCTCCAATCCTCCTGTCGATCTCCCGCTCCATCCTACCCTCACTTGTGAGCAAGATCCTGAGATACTTGAACTCCTCCACTTGAGGAAGGACCTCCCCTCCGACCCAGAGTTTCTAAATATATCACCCTTACAAGCCAAGCTATCAGTTGACATCTTTGCTGCCACAAACCCGTGTTCTTCTACAGCTCCACCAAATATGTTCAATTTTGGATAAAACTGTTAGCTTGACGAAAAAAGATGCATAAAGACTCTACTTCAGCCTTGAATATTACTCTTAATGAAGGGCTCCAAAGAAATTAAGAGTTAAAAGCGACTGAGTTTTAAATAAACACTTTTTTGTGGCGCATTTTTGAGTCAGCTGCAAAATACATGTTAAGTTAATGGTCTGGATGTCTGTAATGGTCGGATGGAAACTGGTGGGAAAAGACGCAGAATTGGAGCTGTAACCGCCGCACTCTCTGCACAAAGGGGTGGAAAACAAACCCGTGACGCAAATGATGAAAAAAACAAACAAACATTCATGGATTTCCAAACTCAACCGAAGAGAACCTCTTACATCCATATCTGACGTCTAACTTTTTTTACTGTCACTGTATAAAAAGTTTTCTTGTGTTTTTCCCGAGGCTGTCCTTGGTGTGACTGGAAACAGTACTTGAATATCGCAGCACTAAAACGCTTCATTAAAACTCGGGCTAATAAAACTCTTTTAAGAGTTGGCAGCTTTCAAAGATGGAGGGACAGTACGGCGGGAAGACTGCGGGACGGCTGTCAGGCTCATGTAAAAATACTCTTTATTGCACCTTTAATGTTTGTAAAGTCTTAAAGACGCGGACGCCACTAATGAGTTAGCCGTGACATTGACGCCTGGCGTTTATGATCCGTATGTAACACGCCAGCCGATGCTGTATGTTCATTTACACACACAGCCTTGTTTACTGATGGATTTGTGGACATCCTCGTGCCTAAATGCGCTCGTGTCCTCTCCGGTTTGTGCAGAGCAGTGTGAGCTAATAAAGATAACCGTCTCAGTGACTCTCTCATGCCAGCCAGCCCCCAGGCTTCTCCTCCTCCTCCTCCTCCTGCTGCTGCACCGCGCAGCTTTAAATGCCACGGGGTAGCTACCTCCTTGATGATGGGCGATAAAAGAGAATGATATCATATTTGACACCTGCAATAAAGTGGTGGAACTTCAACCTTGAGAGCCAACTCCCTTAGTGCATCATAAAAATGAAAAAGTCTTTGAGACAGAGCGGAAGAAGCAGCCTCACACCCTGCTGCCATTACCTCCATTTAATAGAATACGTGCATAATTTCATATCTTCATGAACTAGAGTGAACTTGAGTCACGTTTCACCGTTAAGAAGAATTTATTGAGCCGCACGGGAGGATGTGTCACTCCACTCGTATTGCTGCGTCCGTGTTTTTGTGACTGGAATCAAAGGACGGCGATTCTCCCTGGAGTTTTTATGTCACGATGAATCTATTCAGCGACCGCGGCGCTCGAATGTGAAAATAAGAGAGCTTTAAAAGTGTTCTTCACTGAAAAATGTCACAACTGTATTATGAAAAATACAACTTCAAATGAAAAAGAAAGGATTGACATTGAGGGTCTGCTTGAACCAGTCAGTAACCTTTCATTTTAATCTCTAGTTTTACATTATTACTCACCTTTACTATAATATCAACCTTTCTATTTCCAAGTATTTATGAACATGCACCTTAAATGAGTTGCTCCAGTTGATGAGATGTGGTCTATATTTGTGCTCCTGCATGAAGACGGTCAACAGGTTCAGCAACGTGTTGTTTCCATGCAACCGTGGAGCTCTTCTGTTTACCTGTACAGGACCTCAGCTCAGTCTAAGACAGGGCTGTCCCGATACAATATTGATATCGAATATTGGCCCAATATCAGCCAAAAATCTAATATCGCATTATATCAGCCTGCATCTAAAATCTCCGATATCAGCACTCTGATACAAGCAGTCCATTCCAGACTCCGCTCCAGCACCTCTAGCTAGCATGCATAGCCCACGTGATCACAACAACAGTGTGTACTAAGATACAAACAATGCCGCAAGGGGTAGGAGTGATGTCGGCGACATGTGACAGTATTTTTCGTTAAAGTCCGAAAAGACATTGCAGTTGAGTGCAAAACTTGCAAAACGTGATGCACAAGTTTGTGCCAATATCAGATCAATATCGGTATCGGACGATACTGAAGGCTACAATATCGATATCCTATCAGAAACGTTGTACTGGGACACCCTAAGTCTAAGGTCTGTCCGTGCAAACAGACCTAATCTGTTCTGTTTCTCATGCTACCGCCCTCTGCTGGTCACTCATGGTCTTAAATTGAAACAAACACTTTTTACAGGGTTGAGCCACACAAAGGTGCACCACGGTGGATGAATTTTGAGCACCATTTTCTGAGTAAAAAAGACACTTTTCTGTATTTCATTAATGTATAAGTATAAATGGCACCAGCGTGTATTACACAGTTCACACTTTAGACGATAAAAAAGATAAAAGTGCATCTTATTCCTGAATTTTATGACATTTATACCAAAAACCCATCAAACTAAAGAGAGCTGCATGCTCTCACCTCCTCACTACAAACTGCACACATTTCATTTAAACATTTTTTTTTAATAAAGTGTGAATTTTCAATCATTCCAGGGTGAGTATTTACTTTTTGTTATGTCCTAATTTCAGTTTTTTCAACTTTGCGTCTGGAACAAAGTTTAAAATGAACTAAACTGATCAGGAAATTAAAGTTCAAATGAGTTTGCAGTTCAGCCAGACTATTGCTTAATAATCGTGTTATAAATAAATGAAGTGGATTTAATTAAAACCAATTAAACATTTAAAGTGGAGGTCTGCTCATTAGCTTTGTCTGACTCTGTTATTGAGAACTTTGGCTCAACTTTTCACACTCAAACTGACGGAAATGTTGCAGAAACCATAAAACGACCTTTTCACTCTAAAGTTTGCTAACAAGAGTTCGAGCTTTACCTTACGAGACTGTTTTTATCGTCAGGGTCCAACGCGCTGACCGATCCGACAATGGTGTTCCTCGCCGCGTCCTCCTTCACCTCCATGACGTAGCTGGCTCGTTCGAACACCGGCGGCTCGTCCACGTCCTCCACGACGATCTTGATGGTGGCCTCGTCCTTGAACGGGCCCACGGAGAAGAAGCGAGGGTTGATGTGGACGTTCTCCACCTGGATGCTCAGGCTGTACTGACGCTTCCTCTCAAAGTCCAGCGGCTAAAAAAAACACACAAAGGAGAACAGGTGAGCGGCGTTGTAAAACTTCACTCTTTGTTTTCATGCTTGAAAAGAAAATTCCTGGGTGACTTGTTGTTTTTCTGCGGTAATCACAGCTCTCGTCCCTTAATGCTTACTTTAAAGCGTTCATCTGTATGCGGCGCCACGTTCTGCTGTTGACTTTGGGGATACTAATATCCATTCAGAGCATCCTGCCACATTTAATTCCAGGCCAGATTGGGATTTTATTCATTAAACTGACAATGTTTTTCAGAGCATCAACTAATGAGCACGTGTGAAGGGGCTCGGCGTCTCCTTCAAGGACGCCATGGACACGCTCACACATGATGAACCTTTGACATCCCGGCATCATCGCCATCTTTATTTGTATCTGTGGTTTTTACAGCCGCAGAGCCAGAAAACCTTTCTCTGAACGGCTCTGTTTAGAAATGAGACTTTCTTTTGGCGTCCTCAGGAGCGTTAAGAGCACTCGCTGCATAAATATGGTCAAAACCACCAGAATGAAGCCAGAATGATGTTGATATTGGGAATGCAGAGCCAAGAAAACTGTCAGAGTAGGCCTCAAGTTTCCCGGTAAGTAGCTGTAAATCAGCTCTTCTAATTTGCTGTTTATGCAGAACTTTTTAAATTAACATCAAGAAAAAGTTTAAGTTTTAAATACAGAAATGAGCTGAATGGAGTTGAACTGTTCTTGTAACAGGATTATAAAAGTGACTTTTTAAAGACATTCTCGCTGCAGACCTCCAATTAGAGGCCCGGAAGTTGTTTGAAGCCTTTCAAAATAAAAGCTAATATACCAGGAAGTACGTTTCTTTTTATACATCTGAAGTTCATTCAAAGTCTTTCAAATTAAAATTTATTACACCGGGAAGTACGTATTTTTGTTTTGTATGAATGTATGTTTTGTAATGTCACCCCGAGTCCTCTCAGTTGAGGTCTGCAGCCAGACCCTTCTTTACTTTTTAATGCATAAGCCCACAGTGTTTTTTAGCTTTTGGAGCCTCAAGTGGGCCTCAGTTTTTCCTTATTGGTTTGCAGTTGGAAGAAATGCGAAGACTTAGGCCAGCTGTCCACCTGAGGACTTTTGGAGGATTTGGAAAAGACACCTAACTCACTAATGCTAATACTCAGCACATGCGCCTCAGTGCAGCCTGTGTGCAAAAAAAAAACGTTATTGTTGAGATGTGGCACCTTTATTTCGCCACGGCAGTGCGCCATTACATGTAGGGGAAACCCTCCGGTTGATGGTGAATAGACAAGGCTGATCTGCCCACACCTCCACTATCTGCTCCTTTTTTATCGGCAGTAATTCTTCATACCTTCTTATTCTTCTTGTTTGACTGTCAGGTTTCCTTTTCCACCTTTTGTCAGAGCTTATCTATTGGTTGTTGGTTGTGTTACGTCACGGCAAACCCAAGACTAGGAAAAGACTGATATAAAACAGAGTTTACCGTCTTAAACTTAACGACGGCGATGACAGGAGCGCGCTGTGACTCCAATAAAACTTTAAGATTTACTTAAGACTTTCAGTTTTTAGTCTGGGACTGTGAAAATCGTTTGGTGGAAGCCCCTAGACTGAGATGCTCCCTTGCCCACCCCTCCCATCAGTGAAGAGACGGTGGCCTCCAAGGACAAGAAGCTCCTCTTCTGCATCCTCTGTTCGTCAAGTTTTACCCTCCAAACATTCATCAATAAAACTTTTTTTTCAGTTGGTTGTAGAGATGACATAACTATAAGTAAAAATGCAAAAACGGCTCATGTTATGCAACTCTGCAGGAGCTCCAAGGATTAAAGTAACCTGTGACTGAGCCTGATAGAAAGAAAAAAACTCATATATCTGCATTTATTTATTTAGCGTCTGCTTAAATACCGACACACACAGCACACGTTTTCTTCTCCACTTCTCTTCATGTCTGTTTCTTCCAGCAGAAAGACAAAGAAACGCCAACTTCTTGAATGTTTCTAACTTGATCCCCCCCTCGCCGCCGCCGCCGCCACTCTCTGCGAAAGCATCAATCAAAGTCGTCTCTGGATGTTTGCTGGGTGACATCTGTTCATTTTCCTTCATTATTTCCCTCTTAAAATCAGAACATCAGCAGAGAGAGACGCTGTAGTTTGAATTTGGAGACTCCAGAGCGGAAAATACTACTTAATGCGCAGAAATACTTTTACTATTAAACCTGTTAGGGAGCATCAAGGACGTACAGATTTCTACGTTTGAGTCTTTTCTAAAGGTTGATATGAAGAACTCGAACAGAGAGAGAATTTGATGAATCTGGCCTGATTCTGCGCTGAAGGACACAACGCTGCTTCTACATTTACAACTTTGGTTTTATCTTCAATTGAAAACTGAATAACTTACAGAAATATTGCATTAAAAGAAAATCTACTCAGCAGAAATGCGGGAAACTGCGCTGTTTATTTTTCTGCTTGTTACCTCCATTGATCCGCGGTAATATAATGCTTATTTATGCCGGCCCATCATGTGCTTAACATGTTTTTATTTCGGGCTATTTGTTCCCCTAAAAGGCGGCAATTTGTTATTTCCCTCACGCACAATCCCGCCTCTCGTATACTCCGTTCTTCCGCGCTATAATTTATGTTCCGTGCACAATGATTAGCAGCCTGATTTCTGCAGGTTCGCCGCCGCTGTGCATTCCGGTGCAAGTCGGCGGTATGTTCTCACTTTTATGTTCCTTTTTCTGAACTTTTTTTTTGAAGTTGTAGCCGCAGAAGGTATCCACCTATTGATGGAAATAATTGGAGAGCTCTGGGTTTTAATGAATGTGCAGCGGGCGCAGAGCAGGAGCAGCTGGATCAGAGCGAGGCTGCCTACTGTACATATGAAAGGATGCCGAGGTCCGTGATCGTCGGAAACAGCCAATGAAAGCTCGAAAAATCCACATGGAACAAGCCGTTTTTCTGAAGCCATGAATAATAACACAATATGAGTCAGTGATTTTCGCTGTTTCTTGTTAAGGGAAAAGGGGGGGATGTGTTGCTTTGAAGGAGCGGTACGAGCTGAAAAAGGGAGGCACTCCCACTTGACAAGCCCATTTAATTAGAGGGTTCAGAATTAGGGCACGCTCGCTCCCCACACTCACTCTGCCCGCACACCACATCCACTACAGCCCCGCCGCGGCTACAAAAGGCAATTATGTCATCTTCCACTTAATGATGGCATGATGGAAGCGATCGATCGGAGGCTGCAGAGAGGCCGCTTGATAAGGCAACTGGCAGATTCTGTTGAATACATCAGAAACACACCGCAGCACACCCCTGAATGCTGCGATCCATACCGAGCATCAATATTTCTGCTTTGGTCTCAGCCGAAGGGAAGAATGGAGCTCGCTCAAAAACACATGTACCGCCGGTGTGGGCAAGTGAAGGTTGAAATCTAATAACTCTGCTGTCCGTCTGTCCGTCTGTCCGTCTGTCTGTCAGAGCGCATGGAGATGAAAAAGTTTTGATCTTTTTTTCTCTTTATTGAGTTTATTCTGCAGTTCCCTGCTTTGTTTAACCTCAGAATGAGATTACTGACGCTCACCGGAGGGTTGGTTTGTTGGTGAGGGACCTCCTCGCCCCTTCGTGATATGCAAAATCTGCTCGCACAATCATGGTGTACATATATGTGTGCGTGTGTGCGTTTTCAGACCTGTTCCTACAGCTGTAACAATAACTTTCAGTCAATATTATGACTCTTCCATGAGGCCGACCAAGTCCAACATTAGCAGAGCTCTTCTTTGGTTTGCGCTTCACCTTTTTCCCAAGTTTCATAAAAACAGACTTTGAAGTTTTTCTATAATCCTGCTGGCTAACTTTATTATGTTCAAAGCCAAGACGGCTGCTTTTTAAATGCCAAATACTGAGTCTGTATTTATATATGAAGTCAAAGCTAAAGATATTTGTGTTTAGGTGTTCGCAAGGACATGATTGATGACTTTTCTGGCATCTGGAGTGATGCAGAAATTTGCATTAGCAGGACCACAAGAAGCTGACCAGCATGCATTTTTTTTGTAGGATGGGGAAGGTCTCATCCTCCTTCGCCTCTGATTGGCTAAAAGTGCCAGGCTCCGATTGGTTATTCCTAATGGCTGTGAAACGTCATCGTCTGTTGGGTTAGGGTTGGAGTTAGGAGATTCAGAAGTGCAAAGTGTTCTGTTTGATGTACAGAGCCGACAGCCCGCGTTTGGCTTAAGCGTGTGATGACGTTTCCAGCTTTTCTAGCCAATCAGACGTGAAGGAGGCGGGACTTATCCCTACCATCCTACAAAGAAAAATATTGTGACCAGCATAGCTGATCTGAAAGTGATTCAAAGAGAAGTTGAGTCGCCATTTCCAATATGGCAACCACCATCTTTGGGCTCTGTCGCTACCTGATCCTTCCCGTAAACCCAATTTGTACTGCGCATGTGCGAAACATACGTCACTTCCTCTCTACGTATTTCAATGCAATTTAAGGCAGTAAGTCGTTCCTATAGCTACCTACCCAATCCGTACTGCGCAGGTGCAAATTTACTTCACCTTCAAAACTTTATTTAAACTAACGATCGATTTCAGAAACCAGCTAGGCTAGCTAGCAGGAGGCTCCAGGGCTAATGCCGAGGCATTCGCCAGAGCACAGAGAGCGCTGCCACCCGGTCAGATTCATGGTTCTCTGACCTTTTAAAGTTTCAAAGGTGGATTTATTTCATAGATTCAATTTATTAACAAGAAGCCTGCACATTATGGTCAATGAGTTTCAGCGTTTTTAAACAGCTTTTCAATTTCAACAATGAAATACTCACATTCATTCAAGCCTTTTATAACTACGTTGCAATTTTACAATTTAGCAGGAGTAGGAATCTTTAATCGTAAGACTGAGCGCCATTCTCTTGACTTTCTGGCGCTCTGCTTCAGTCGGAGGAAGTACTAAACTGAAGCCTCCATTCTGACTGAAGTCAGCTAACCGATGCTGAAGCTGTTGAACAAGTGTCGAAGCTGACGCCATCCGCGAGGGGTGAAGAATTGCTGAGCTGTCACAAAAATGGCTAGTAGAGGAAGTGACATGTTTTGCACATGTGCAGTACAAATCGGGTTTCTGGGACAGATCAGGTAGCGACATGTGAAACATTAACCCTTAGAACTCCCAGATATATTTTGCTATTTTTGGTCCGCTCATAATCTCTTCTTTGCTTGTTTCCAAACATTGAGGAACATTAATTTTTATTTTGCAGACAAACAGGGAACTTTCTGGTCGCTTGTTGATCTTTGGTTGCCTCTTATATCAAACGTCTCTGATCGAACACCTATTTTTGTGGCTGGATTGTAAACCTTGTGGCAGGTGTAGAAATGACCGGAAACCCTCGATAGATCGCCAAAAAGGTAAACTTTTGAACGCTTTTCATCCCGTAGAGATCTAAGTGTTAAGACTGCGTCCATGTTTGATACTGTCTCTGGTTATAATACAGTCTCAGACATCATCATAAGGGTTTTAGTACTTCAAAAACCTGTCCCCCTTCCCCTCCTTTAGCCCGCAGAGACTCCCTGACCTTCCTCAGGACGATGACGCCCTCCTGCGTGCTCCTGTTGGTGCCGACGTCGAACATGCCGGGCCCGTCGCTCCGGGTGATCCTGTAGTCCATCTCCGCGTTCTCCCCGATGTCGGCGTCCATGGCCCGGATCACTCCCACCACCGACCCCAGCTCCATGGACTCGGGCACTCTGAACTCGTAGAGCGCTGCGGAGAGAAAATTGATCTTTTGTGAACCGGTTGGAAAGAAGAGTAAGTCAATCAGAGCGACAGAGTGGAGATGTGGAGAGGGAGAAAGAACGGAGTCAGAGGAGCGAGTGAGTCAGAGGACTGTGAGGGGGGCCGTGACAACAGAGGTCACATCCTTGGCATTTCTTTTCAAGTCCGGGTCCAGCTTCTCACAGCGAGATGCAACTCATTTAAGAGGTGAATCAATGCCTCTTTGATGGTTTTCCCTCCAAATGAAAGCCGCGTCCAGAACAATTACAGCCTTCAGACGACTCGAGACTAATTCTGAAACACACGGACCCGGACAGAAACAAAACGCCACCTCTGACACCCGAGGAACGTCACGACCTGGCTATTTTTCACGACCCTGTTAGTGAAAAAAAGAAACGAGCGGAAGAGGGGTGAGTGAGTCACGGCCAATCGGAGAGTCAGGAGAGAAGGAGGAGAGGAAGGCGAGTGGGAGATTTAGTGCTGCAACATTTGTAGATCAGCTGTGGAGCAGCACATTTCATACCAGACATATTTCATTTCCAAAACAGACGTTTGGCCTTTAGCACAAGTCGCTGCGAGCGCCATCGACTTCAAACTTTAGGACGTAACATAAATTCTGGGCCAATTTGCGCAACATAAATTAATTGCTTCCCCTTCTTCCTTCAGTTTCTTTTTTTTTTATATTCCGTGAGATGATTTCCTGGTTTGAGAGGGATGAATTGATGGCTGCCTGTCGGCGGTGGCGGCGGCGGCAGCGGCGGCGGTGGTGGCCCCAGCTGCATCTCGTATGCTTAAATAAATAGCCGGACTGCGGGAGGGAGCGGGCGTGATATACACACAGCCTGCGGAGACAAACAGCACTGACACACTAATAAAACATGCTGACAGTGTTTTGGCAACGCCTGAGTCGGCAGGTCTCAGTGACGCTGACACTTGCCTCCACACACAAACACACACACACACACACACACACACACAGAGACACACACAGATACACACACACGTGGAAAATGCAGCATGAGGAGGCTTCCCTAAGCTAACAGGTATTTAGCATGGGTGGAAAAGAAGAGGCATCACCCGAGAAGACAACAATGATATCGCTTCCTGACACTCTCCCTCCTCTGGGTGTCCCATTACAATATCTCTTCCTCTTTCTCCCCCGTTCAATCTTCCCCCTCTCGCCTGTTTGTCTCCCCCTCCTCCCTCCATCACAGCCTGTCTTTCTGTCGCCTGCATCACTCTTCCCTTTCTTCCTCTATCTCCCCCTCCTCCTGTCACCTCCCGCATCCTGCTCGTATCCATCTCCCCGCGTCCACCCCTCGCTGCTCATTCATTGGGCGAGAGGTTGAGGCCGAGATGACACTCTTCTCCCCCTCCCACTTCAAGCTGGTGGGAGTGATAAATGCAGAAGTGGGGCGGCGAGGAGAGGAGGGGAGGGGGGGTTTTGCGGTGGCGTGTGTGTGTGGCGTGCGCACTGTACGGCGGCTGTAACTGTGGGGAAACACAGCGACACCAGTAATCCGTCAATCTGATCTGGCTGCCGTCGCCGTCTGCCAGATGCACGAGGGGAAGTGAGACGGGTGAGGGAAGACAGGGAGACAATGTGTGAGACTGAAAGGGAGAGTAAAGGGAAGGATTGATGATTGATGAGCGAGGGAGGGGAGGGGGGCAAAAAAGTGCAGCGAGGGCAGTGGGAGCTCTAAATTGAGAACATTGGTTTTATGGAGTAAAAGGCGGCAGAAGAAAGACTTAATAGACAAAGAGCGGGGAAGAGTAGGGGAGATAAAGCCCAGTGAATGTACTCTCTTCATTTAATAGGGATTACAGCGCTGATCTGATGCACTTTGCCGGACCCTTCGCTCTGTCATATGGCTCTATATTTAATTATTCCCTGCCTTTAAGAGGCCCGCCTCAGCCGCACAAAAACCCAGAGCTCCCTGCAATAATCCAGATTCATTTTGAAACTGACACCAGATGGGGGCTGCCTGCCTCTGCCTGCCTGCCTGCCCGCCCGCCTGCTTGGCACAGCCTAACGCTGACAAGTGGTCCCGGTGATAGCGGTCACTCCCTCTCCGTGTGGGTGTGGGGCGAGGCTGCTGTACTCACTCTTGGTGAAGCGTGGCGGGTTGTCGTTGACATCAGAGAGGGCGATGCTGACCGTGGTGGTTCCCGAGAGCCCGCCCATCTGTCCGGCCATGTCTTTGGCCTGGATCACGACCTGGTAGTTCTCTTTGACTTCTCGGTCCATGCCGGGGAGGGCGGTCTTTATCAGGCCTGGAGAGTGTGGAAAAAAAGAGGAGATTTGTAGGTCGTTGAATTTGGATATTAAAACAAACAAAAAAAGTGCACAGTCATGGTCGCTTTGTCATTGATTGGAGCAACATATGCTGCAGTGAAGAAGACCTTTAGCCAAACCACATCCTGCAGGGATTACAACAGCAAGGCTCAGGAGTAGAAGAGTCCTGCTGATGCAGTCTGCTCCACAATGACACAGAAGATCTAATATACTGACTTTGCACCATAATCAATAAAATAAATTTAATTATTTCATTTTGATTCCATTGCAAATCATAACTTCTGTATTATAAACATGCATCCCTATTTTCTAATAAAGGTTGTGCGACAAATAACTGAAATTTAAAGCTCTTGGTTGAACTATAATCTTTTTAATATGTTCGAAAACTCTTCCTAAAATGTAAAACGTCGCAAATCGCTTTTTAAAATATTTGTATAAAGTGTATAAATGTTGTTTTTCATCGTCAAATTTCAAAGGTCAAAAGGTCAAAGCTTACTTTATTTGTACCCTCAGGTAAATTTTGTTTGCAGTGAATCACATGTAAGTTAGTAGGCGAACAAACAGCAAAGTACATACATATAAAGTGACAAGAGTGCTCGGGGTTAAGAGGTTAAAATGAATCAAATAATCAAATAAGACCAAATAAAACTCAGTAAAACAGAATAAAAACCAACAGCCCTCAAGGTTTGATACTAAGGTTCATATTTGAGGAATAAGAGGTGGTGCTGTAAATGAAAATGAGATTTCGTTTCATAATATGTTCTGTTTATTCAGTTTTCGGTAACGCTTTCTTTGTACACTCATTACCTGTAATTAACAGGTAATTACCTAGTAACAATAGGAAATTATCTGGTAATTACATGATAACTACTAAGTCAATACTGTCTTGTTTTTCTTTTGTTCTGTTTTCTGTGCAGCTCCATTTTCAAAAGCTATTTGGGGTTCTTGTTGTCTATGATTGACACTTGATACAGCCTATGGGCGTGCAAAGATTGCGTAGCGATACGCTGTTTGAGCCGAGCGTTATCACAGCGACTCACCCGCCGAATGCGTACAATGCTACTGCGCAAGAGGTGGTTCCAGGAAGTGGAGAAAATCCTGGAAATACCAGAGCAATTCGGCTTCAAATCTGTATGATGATGGAAGGTTACCTACCTGGTAGCTAGACAGTATTGACTTAGTAGTTATCATGTAATTACCAGATAATTTCATGTTGTTACTAGTTAATTACCTGTTAATTACCTGGTAATAAGTGTACCGTAAAAGAAAGGGTTACCTAGTTTTCTTCTCCTGGTTTTATTTGAGTGTGTTTTGTGTTCCTGTTCTCCTCTAGTCCAGTCTTGTGAGTTTCCAGTTTGTGTTCGTCCCTGTTTCCCTCCATTTCTCAGTGTTTTATTCTTTAGATCAGTTTTCAGTGTCTATTTCCTGTTTTATTTTGTAGGAGTTGATTCCTTGTGTTTCTAGTCTGGTTTTACTTCTCTAGTTTTCCCTCCTTCGTCTCGTTTCTCACTGTGTATATAGTCCCTGTCTTACCCTCTGTCTTTGTTGGTTTATTGTATGTCGATGTGGTTAGACATTTTTGAAGTAAGTTTTTGTTCCTTTTTAGATAAGTCCTTTTTTTCTGCATTTTGGGTAATTTCTCTTTTTGTTTAACTCCGGCTCATGACATTAAAAAAACAAGAAAATCATCTTATTTTAAAGATCTGTAGGATTATATCAGGATCTAAATTAATGTAAAAGAAGAAGTCCTGACACCTGACCCTGCAGGGAGTCGCAGCACAAAGCTTAAAGGTGCAACCACTTATCTTCATTCGACTCAGCTGCATCATCAGCGCCTCATTTGTCCATTTCGCTCTCGACTTTCTCGAACTAAAAGCTTTTTTTTTTTTTTCAGCATGAGAGGACCCCGTGACATGAGCGACCCTCCAGCTGCGGGTCAAGAGTGTGCTTTAAAAGCAGCGAAAAATAGCCAAGATGGCAGCGGCTAAAATGTCAAACACTGGTGAGTTACGTCAAAATGGATTTGTTGGCTCGTCCTGTGAAATCTGTGTTTTTAAAGGCTGTGGGGTGGACGGGAAAAAAGGGCAACTGAGGTATAACCTTGAATGCTGAAATTGACGCTTTAAAACTGATGTTTTTGGGGCGAAACAGTCGACAAATCTGAGGTGAACAAACGTGAATACAGCGGTGTAATTATTTTGATAAGAGCAGAAACTGTGCGTCTCTATCGTCACATTTTCAGCTGACAAGTTTACGTACAACCTTTCTGAAACCGGCCCGCTATGTGACGTGAAAATAATGAAGTGTTTCCAGAGCTGGAGTGCATAAATCTAAAGATCATTGTTCTCACCTGAAACGTCCCTAAAAATAAGCCCGTCTGCATCAGCTGCATTGAATTAATGATATTTCATCTTTTAGATTTATGCATCTACAGGCCAGATAATTAAACCACTAAGAACATTTTATTACTGAAAGGTCAGCGCTCTTGCTCAGTATGCGCGGCGGCACTGAGCTCAGCGGCCACCCAGGAGCACACTCTGGTGTCTGTGTTTCCATGATTTAACTGCTAAGTGGACCAAAGGGCCAATCCACCCCCCGAAAAAACACTGAGTATTCCTTTAATTCTCTTAGCGTAGCATTCGCCTCCAAATGCATTCACCGTCATTTATCTCCTCTTAGGAATTAAGACACTTAATGTTCAGCCTTTCAAGTGCCACGCAGTTGCTTATTCCTCCGCTCCGACGCGTTAGATCTCTAGTTTGGAGTCAGGACAGAGACTGAGTGAAGCAGTAATTGGCAGCATATTCAAAAGGTGCGCTCCATCTCCCATCAGAGTGGGTCTTAAATCCTGTCTGCTATTACAGGTTTGAATCTGAAGCAGCATGAAGAAGGAAGCAGGTGGAAGGGAGAGGGAGACAGACAGACGGATAGAAGAGGAGTGGGAGAACAGAGATGAAGAAATAAATTTCACCCTAAATAAACCGCTTTGACGAACTTCATCTCTCGCAGTCTGAACAGATGATTCACTGCATATCAAACAATGAGGGGAGAGGGGAAGGCTGACGCGCCCCGTGCATCACTCAGGCTCAGATCATGGTGGCCTATGCCGCTCAGAAGGCCCTCTGACACAGTAAATATCGGTGTTGGACTCTGATTTTCTTGTTCTTAAAGGTTAAAAAGATGCAATCTGAAATCTCTGAGTTAGCAGAGTCATTAGCGCTGCTTTGATGATGTTTGACATGATTCAAACTTTGGATTAACAACTAAAAAACAGCCAATAAGAGAGGGGAACAAAAGGGATGGACAGCAAACTTTCTACACTTAAGTCTTAATCATTTTATTTTATCAGCAAACAAAGAGCATAAATCTGGAGTGAAATCAGGTCTTCTCAGATCTGAGGCAGTAACTAATGCTTCAGAATTAACCTACTGTTTGATTATGTTACAGTACCTAGAGCTGGGCGATACAGCCTCAAATCAATAACACAATATATATTGATCAGTTCACCTCGATAACGATAAACGGACGATAACTGCTCCACAAGCTGCTCACCCCCTCCTACATCAACTTTTGAACCGTCCTCCATCTCCTCACCTGTCTTTCCCTCTTTGTTACAAACTGGATGGGGTGGAGTCACGTCTCTGATATAGGACAGCGTCTTAAAGGGACATGAGACCATAGCCTACCTACACACATCCAAAACCAACTTTTATCTATTTATTTTTTTGACACCAAATATACCGATATGGGCAAAATGGCATCGGCTATCGTCGTAAATTTCATTATTGGTTAATCTTTGGTTTATCGCCCAGCCCTAACAGTATCATGACAAAAACATTCATTTGAAGCTTCTAGTAATGCTTTAGAGGTGAGCTAACCTGTAACTTTGAAACACGTACACTCAAAAAAATGCTGTTTTAACAAAAATACAACCCTGAAACCTTTCAGATCATCAAATCAACACATTTTCACTCAGAAATTAATCCTGAAGTCATAAAAAGAAAATTATTTAGATTATTTCTGACTCTAAAGCCTGCGCTTCATTCAGAGGAGTATTCCCACCTTGTGAAAGAAAGTGTTTTCTTCCTGTTTTTCACGCCTACGTTTGCTGTAAAATCATCAGAGAACACCTCCAGAGTTGTCTCTGCCATTATTTACACATCTCACAGTGTGTGTGCGTGTTTCAGGTTATAAAAGATGAGACTTTTTTTAATTTTTCAGAAGCCTAAATTCAGCCAAAGAAAACAGAAACAGGTGATGTCGCGAACACGTATCCCCGTTATATCTCTGTCTACCTTTGTTATTGCTTAATGACTACAATACACGGGCCCAGAGGAGGAGGGGAGGAACAAATCCTGCTTATAATGTGATGTCCAGGCATGTCTTTGTGTAAGAGGGGATGTCAGCTTACATACCACATGTGGGATAAACCATATTACTGTTAATCCCTCCACTAATCTGCAAATGGCTTTTTTTGTCGTTCTCCTTTTGTTTAAGCAAAAAAGACACGAGCGGGATTCGTTCCAAAGCGCACATTAATGATTAAAACTAGCGAGCGGCTGGATTTTTGGGGCTGGTGATTTGCCACTCACTCTACTACAAATCCCCCCATGCACTCGCCTGTCTGCCTGCGAGAAGAGGCGGATAGCTGCGGTGTATTTTTGGTAACAGTCACAGCATCTCTGGAGTTATTCTGTGATAAATTGTTTTAATTTATTTTTGCCAGCAAAGCTCAGCCATCCTTCGCCTTTTTTGCCTCTGTTGGTGATTTGTTATGTTTCTCCGGATTGCCACAGCGAGACAAAAAGTGTAGTTAAACTTGTTGCTTCCAGCTGTGGGTTACACCTGTAGGAGAAAGTGCGGCTGCAGACGGAGGAGAACAAAAGCTTTAAAGAGAAAAAAGACAGAGACGCAGTACACAAGTCATGGCTGCGGTGCAGATCTGCAGGGGCAAAAACACCGAAAAGATTTATATTTAAAGGAATTTCCTCTTTGCATATATCCTTATACTTTACTTCAAAATGAAGACAGTCTAACAGGATTGAAATACAGATCAATTAGACTGAACCTGTTTGTAATATTCAGTTTTACCCCTCGGCTGTTTATGAGAACCGGAGTTTGCCTCCAAGCCCTGAACCTGCATCAGTACTAATGACCACTAAAGGGGCGGCCACAGAGATGGAGTCGGGTTCTGTCAGATCGATGACACTTGATTTATAACCTTAGCTAACAGTTCATAAAGAAGCTAAAGGTCTAAATTGTTGGTTTTAAATCTTCCAACAAAAAAGTGAAGTTAAGTTTGTTCATTTTGGACCATTTTAAGGTCATATAGACGATAAGACAGGTTATATTTCATTAAAAATCAAATTACAAACAAAGATAAATGTGTCTTAACCCCAATATTTACCTCCTACCTTCTTCTTTCTTTCTGATTTAGGTAGCTGGGCAGGAATTCAGGAGTTCCTTATGGCAAAGTAAAAGTTTTCACCTTTAATTTGATGAATTATTATTTGTTGAATTTTGCACAAATCCCCCAAAAACACGATATCTCCATTATATTTTGTCCAGTAAAGACCTGCTCTCTCATTATCGGTATCTTCTCTTGCGTCAGTGTCTTTAATTATCTTTATTTGTTTCAGTTTCAAAACTATCAAAATGTTTTTCTGTAGGTTACAGTAAAAACTTTTCAGCTACAGATTCGTTTAGCTTCTTGTTTGCTCTTGCTCAAGTTGTCTGTGATCCATCTTACCATGTGAGAGCAGGTTTTATCTGCCCTGTTCTGTTTGCAGAATGATGAACAAGACAGAGTTTAATGGAAGTGGAAGGTTTTGATAAATATTATTTAATAAAAACACCCACGTTTAAATTTACAAAAAAGTAACACCAATAACCAACAACTGGATTCAAAGACAAAGAAAACTCCAACATTTGCTGATGATATAGTGTTCTACTGTTTGGCTCCACCCCCTTTTGTCCAAATATGGTCACGTTCTTTCACTAGATAGAAACAAATAACAAACCAACCTCCTTTCCTTCCTACAAGCAGTCCATTTATTTCTCAAAGGTACAGAAAAGATGTTTTTTTTTTTTTCTTCGGTTCTGAGATTTTTTTTTTCTTCTTTTTTTCAGAGTCGGTGTTTCTGTGTTTTATGACTCAGGCCCTGACAGGATTAACTTTGAAACTGGGAACTTTTTGCTGCCTGCTCTCCGTTTAAAACAAAGAGTCCCTGTTTTTTATGAATACAGAGTCATTCTCCAGCTATTAAAACAATATTGATCAAATTCTTCAACTCCGATTCATTCGAAAATTCCTACAGCGCTGCGAGACTCTCCTGCCGGACTCAATAATGGACAGCATTGATTTAACTAGAGGCATGTTCTCGGAGATAGCGTTTCATTATATGGTCGTCTCATAAAAGGGGAAATAACGGGGTCGCTGGGATCCTTTCAGGTGGGTTTGAGATGAAATAAAGTCCACACTGACCTGTCTCTGGGTCCACTGAGAAGTAGGGCTGGCCCTCCAGGATGCTGTACACCACCCTGGCGCTGTTCCCGTACGTGGCGTCGTCTGCGTCTGTAGCTGTCACCTGAATTACCGAAGTGCCTGTGAGAGGAAGATTCATGACGATGATTTAGATCAACTCTTCAATACTGCTGAAAATTGCCTGCTGGATAATTGCTTAAGCTGATGCACCTTCTGATGAGGTGTCGGCTCCTCTTCTAATCACGCTCATGCAGAATGTGACTGACTGTTTCTGTCCCTTTGCATTACCCAAACCGATCTTTACTCCTCGGCCACTTACACCCTTATACATGATTGATTTTCACGGCTAATCGATAAGTCCTAATGTATTTTTCTGAGTATATCTCTCTTAGCATAGGAGCAGCACCGATACCAGGCTCTTTGCAAACCCCAAGAAGCCTATTAGTGTATCCACAGATCTGGAGAAGCCAAATATCTGATCGCAGGCGAACGAGTGTGATCCATTTTCTCTTCCAGAGAGGCTGAAGCCCTATTTCAGCAGAACAAAGGGAAACGGTTAGCCAAGTGCTACCTCCCAAATGGCGCCTTGCGGGGCCAAGTGTTGCCTCATTACATGCAGAAGAAAATTAATTGAGTAGAAATATTTAATGGCAAAGTGGTATAAATATAGAATTGTGCAATACAAAGGGATAAGGACCCCGTGAAACTTCTCTAATTTGGTGTCAGTTGTGATCTGCAAAAGGGTGAGAAAAGAGTTCCCCTCCTCTCAAATCTGCGTCGTTTGTAGGAATGATGGATGTTTGAGAGAGGGGGAGAAGAAGAAGAAAAAATCGTAGGACTAGAAAGCAAAGCGTGAAGAAGACCACGGCTGTCTGATTTGGTGTAAGTGACAGTTCGGGAGGATTCGGGAGCGAGTTCACCGAACCTTGATCAGTAATACCTTTAACTAGGGAATTAGACTCAAAGAAGCTTTTCTGACACGGCGGCTTTTAGAAAATATCACTGATCCACATCAGCCATCTCATCGCTGACTTTAAGCTTTTTGGAGGGCTGAATTTTCAGACAAACAAGTCAGGAATTATCTTTTTTTTGTGTGGAGGGGGACTAAATTACCCTGACTGTAATCGCTCAGTTGTCAAAGGCGGGGTGCGTCGAAGCCGAAGACTCCCAGAAAAAGAATGTCAGCGCCGTGAGACTATAATAAAACTCAAAGTGTATGTCACACTTAAAGGGCCAGTGTCTCGGCGCAGTCACTCGTGAACACATGCTCTGCCAAGCGGTGACATCACACCTCGGTTGTTGCCATGGGCACCCGTGCTGCCCTTAGATAAGTGCCGGCCTCTCTCTTGGGGTTGCTGAACCAAGTGACAACTCTGTCACATGTCCGAGCTGCGAGAGCGATGTCCCTCAGTCCCCGAAGCTCGGCAGCAGCAGCAGCAGAAGCAGCAGAACACAGAGTTCACTCCACGTTTTCATGCAAGTATTGATTAGCAGCCTTGTTTTATTTTTTGTTGTTGTTTATCTATATTCATGAGGACAGTATGTACTTTTAGAAGAGGAGCTGGAGCCAAAGTGCACGCCGAATTAAACTTTCATTTGACTGACAAGAAGAAATAATAAAACTGCGAACAGTGCCGTCGGAGAAACTGGGAAGATTCACTTAGATGACACAGCTGACAGTCCTGGTAATTAAATTAAATACTGTTTTAATAAGATGCAAAACTGTATTTAAAAGATTATCTGCACCAGTGCTGTCGCCGTCACACACACACTCACACACACACAGACACACACACGTTTTACCTTGTTTATTCTGCGGTCATGAAACAGCTCCTAGTCTCTCTCATTTAATTAGTGGGGCCCTCTTTGTTGAGTCTGCATCATTATTATGATTGATAAAGTCCCATTGATCCGGTAAGACTGGCAACATCTCTATCCTACTTGGATCATAAGCCTGTTAAATCCGGCTCCACACATGCACACGTCCGCACACACACACAAACACACACATACACACCCTAATTTGTGTAAACACTTAATTATTGTCTGAGTTGTGATCAATCAAAGTAGTTTAACACACAGACGCCTGCTGTTAATGCTCAGAGAACGACTGTTTTCATTGATCCCTGAATTATTCATCGTATTAATCCACTATGCATTTATTAACTCTTTCATTTCCTACATGGCGAAATTATTCCATGTCTGAAGGAGGGGTGTGCGCCTGTAGAGGCCTCACTTATTAAAGCTCCTGTGAGTAATCTTCATTTGGTTGTTAATCAGACTAAATCTGTTACTGATGTTTCTGTTAGACCAACAAACACAAACAAGACCATCAGCGTCAATGCCGTCGATCTCTGTAAGGCTATTTTTGAATGTTTGAAACTATCGCTGCAGGGTAGGTGTCAGACAGGAAACCGCCTCCGTTACACCTTATTAATTTTTATTTTCTTTTTTACCAAAGTTTTTTTTTAAGTGGTACATTTGAACATCAATGGAAGGCAGAAATATTTTTAAAAATATATATATATGGGTGACTAAAATTAGACCTAAAATTCCTCACAGGAACTTTAAACCTCATAAGCTCGTTTGCACGAGTCAGTTAAAGCTACTGTAAGGAGTTTTCTGTTTGTGTCAGTCTTTGCTTATTTTGTCAATAATGTAAACGTAGACTGTATGTAGAATGCAGTGGCGATTGCTCTAAGACTGCAAGGGAAGCTCGGCTTCCCTTAAAATGTCACCCCCCCAAAAAAAGAAAAAGTGGTGAAATACGTACTGCTGTGTGTACATTTCATTAACTAAATACGCACTAGAAAGCCTTCAACTTTTGTTCAGACACTGTGATAAGAAGCTGATAATCACAGGTAACCGGCATAACTTTGTTCTCATTCATCCTCGCAGCGCCTCAGCGCTTCAAACAGCCGGACGCTGGGCTTCTGCTGACTTCAATGTGGAAGCTTAAAGTGGGTTGTTCCAGCAGCGAAACTAGACGCTCATTGGATAAATGCTGGGCTTTGTCCCGCCCAATGGAAGCTAAGCTTCACTGGAGCTCTATGGCGAGAGGGCGGTCCCGACTTTCTCCCGGACTCCAAGCTTCTGCATCCATGATTGGATGAGCTGTCTGAGGCGAAATCCTTTTTTGATTGACAGCTAAACAAGCGAATCAGCGATCTTGAAGAATAAAACATCTACCAGAGCATTTTCCAAGTCATTCATTCCGTTGTTCTTAACTGCTCCAGAGACTTTACCGATCCTCAGCGACTTTTGTCTTTGTTAAAAACGACTGCCGTTGTGTTTGGCGACTCTGTTCTGTTACATACTAATAAACAAATACAATTATGATGTAGGCCAGAAAAATGAGCTTCCCCTCCTTGAAAGACCAGCAGCCGCCACTGGTAGAATGGACAGTCTGCCTCCTTGCTGGGTGAAGCCACTCCGAGAACAGCACCCTCTGTTGACAGGCTGCAGTATAAGTCATAAATCCCGCCTCCGCCAGCAAAGTTTACGGAGATGTTGACATGTAGTTACAGTCAGACTGGTTTGTGCTCAAGTCCTCTTTTTTTCTGTGCAGCTCCGTTTTTAAAAGTTATTAGGGGATTCATGTCTTCTTTGATTGACACCTGATACAGCCTATTGGTGTTCAGGGATTGCCTAGCTCACCCGGGGGATACGCTGTTTAAGCCGGGCGTTATCACAATGACTCTCAGCGACTCTCCCGCCGAATGCAGACAATGCTACTGTGCAAGGTTAGTTTCAGGAAAAGGAGAAAAAAACAGATAGCTGTCTAACTTAAAGCTCCTGTCAGATGCTTTTGTTTTGCGTCAATCTTGGCGCCCTCTTGTGGACAGAGCAGTCTTTGCTTATCTATTTAGTTAAATTTACCTTTTATTTTGAATATCTCATAAAGAAAATGTAAATGCAGCTGTAACATCTGAGAAATGGTCAATCTTGTTGCTAATGACCTCGTTTGCTTTTGGATATCATAAAAATGCATCAAAATTAATTTCAGACCATTTCACAGGAGCTTTAAGTCTCAAACTTTAACGGTTTGTTCAATGTTGCGAAATCAATCCCCTAAAAAGTCAATAAAATATCTTTCTCAGCCCAGTGAGGTAGAAATTATGAGCACAAACTCACCGATATCTGACATTTCTGGCACTCTGGCGAAGTACGGGTCCTTGGTGAATTTCGGCTCGTTGTCGTTGATGTCATGAATCTTGATGATGAATTCAGATTCGCCCTCCAGCGCCTCGTTGGTGAAGCGGTTGACGGCCTTGGCGTGGAGGATGTAGTAGGCCTTCTCCTCTCTGTCCAGCCTCTTGGTGGCGTGGATGTCCCCGGATTTCTCGTCTATCTTAAACAGGGTCCCCGCCCCGTCCCCTGTGAGGACGTAGCGTGTGCTGCCGTCTCCTCGATCTCCATCCGAGTGAAGCTGAGGATTAAACAGAAAGAAACAACACTAATGAGTATCCCCGCAGCTCCAAAACATTGATTTCAAGCAACAGTTTGTGGCCCTTTCATTTTAATACATTTCCACTCTGCAGCTCTCCACTGCTAATTGTTATAGCACAACAATGATTACAACTCAGCTTTATGAAAGCTTTCACATTTGCTTAATTTTCTCTCATGAACACAGAGTGTCAGCTCGCTCTGTGCAGGGGGGAAAAGCTCCCAGTTAACATGAGTGGAAATAGCGGCTGTGAGCAGAAACAACATCCACCGAGAGGGAAAAAAAAAGGAGGTACATCACAGCGCTGGCTGCAGAGTTAGATTGACAGGTGAAGTCTGAGGAGTTCAGAGCAAATATCCCGAAAACGAGCACTTTGAACTAAAGATGTCAGGAGAAAAAAATCAAGTTTCAAAGCAGATACACGGTTTTCTACTTAGGTATTTCTGATACACCGCTCACATATCAACGATCTGACCAATCTGAGCCTTGGCAGAGAAACACTGACAGCTTTGATAAGTGCTTTTGGTGTTATTTAACAGATTCATATCATCTTTAGTAAACTGTCATCGCTGTGGCTTCACCTCATCTGTGTGAAATTCACATCCTGCCAGGAGGAAAGCACACAGCGAGGGCGCTTAAAGCCTCTGGAAACACAAACCCATGACAGTCTTCTCGCCGTCTTAATTAAGGTCTTCTGTACATAAAAAGAAGCTTCTAACGGTATCATACATGAGTGTGATCCAATTTTAAAATATTGCCATTTAAGCTTGTGATAGACGCTTCTTCTTCTTCTCCCTCTGACTCCGACATAGCTAAGCAAACAGTCCAGCTAACAGTAGGCTACACGCCAATCGCTCTAAGTGTTCAAGGGATATTCCGGCGTATAATTAATTTAGGGTCATACTGTAACATCGAGTTAGACACCCCCGTCGAGAGATGAATGTTGCCGACTGCTTACTTCTCTAGTTATACCAACTTTAGTAACGACCGCATGATAGTAATACACAGCGGTCTGAGGAGCCATAAACAAACCTCAACCAAAACGCCACTCTATAGCCACAAATAATGCTCAGAACAGCACCTAACTTCATCAACAGTACATACATGTTTTTACACTACACTTTTTTACACTTTGTCATTTTATGTTACATGGTTCTTATATTGTCTGGGTTCCTTATGACATGAAAATAACCTTCAATTTCGTTTTTACTGAGATTTTTGTTTTTATCTGTCTTTTTCCATGTTCTCTATGACTTTATGTCAAAGCACTTTGTAAACTTCTGTTTTTAAAAGTGCTATACAAATAAAGTTATTATAATTATTATTATTTTTACATAGGGTCACAGCCATAGCACTAGCCACCAAACATCTTTCTAACTTTGCCTGATTTCTTTAGCAAAGAGACTAAACACAACTCACCTACTCTCTTCCAGCAGCCGCTGCGGGGTGCCGCAGCTCAAGGAAGAACATTTATGATCATTTCTTTATCATTTCCTTGTAGAAATAATCATCATATTTATCATTTTGCACTGCAGACACGGTAGTTTTTCTGCCTTAGCATCTCAGTCTGATTGTATTTCCATGAAGAAATGATCATAGATGTTCTTCCTTGAGCTGCGTCACCCCGCTGTAGTCTGTAATGGACTGGCCTGAGGTCTCGCTCCAAACAAGCGACTGCTGGAAGAAAGTAGGTGAGTTGTGTTTAGTCTTTTTACTAAAGAAGTCAGAAAACTTGATGAAGTTAGGTGCTGTTCTGAGCATTATTTGTGGCGTTTTGTTTGGCGTTTAGACCGCTGTGTATTGCTATCCTGCGGTCGTTACTAAAGTTGGTATAACTAGAGAAGCAAGCGGTCGGCAATCTCTCGAGGGGGTGTCTTGCTCAGTGTTGCGTGTGTTTGACCCTAAATTAATTTTATGATGGAGTATCCCTTTAAGAGCAGCTGGCAGATGTCCCTCAAGTTTTTTGAACGCTTTATCAGCCTCTCGACTTTGTGCATGCAACACTGCAGCCAGATATCAAGAAGGTTTTAATATGTTGCTCCTAGTGATTTTGTTGCGTACAGTTTGTCATTTTCGCAGAGCGCCGATGGGTCGGAGTCTGTGAAGTACCAGCATGAGTGTGGCGCTCACGTTCGCGGCCTGCCAATCCCTCATGGCTCGCCAACATGACCGACACGCCAGAGGACCACGAAAGTCCACTTGTCTGCGCGGCTTCTCATCATTATTTGCTCGCTCCCTCTCTATCTCCTGTTTAATTTTTTTTCCTCCTGCATGAACAGCAGCTTAGCATGCGCTGACATTTTAATTCCACCGCCAAATCCCCCCAACATATTTATCTCAGAGAACTCATCAAAAGCTTGTCCGGTCATTTTTTCCCCCCCTTCCCTGCTGCATGCCTGCCTACTTGCCTTTCCTCCCTCTTTAATAACCAAGGACATGTTAATAATTGCACAGGGAGGTAAAGGGCGAAAAGAGGGCACGTGTCGGCTAAGTACAAACGCCGCTTGAATGTCTGCAATCATAAACGGGTGCTGGGACATCATTCTGAGCTCTTTTATTGACACCTCATTAACTCAAGTGAGCCGAATCTGACGCTCTGAATGCATATTTTCCTTTAAGCGGGAGCTGCTGCTGTTGTTGTTGTTGTTGTTGTTGCTGTTGTGTCTACAAGCGTTCTTGGCTCTGCCGGTGGACAGACTGAGGGGGAATATTGTGCGTTGCAGCTGGGTCACGTGGGAGCGCATTGCAAAGTCTCCTTTCTCATCATATATTAAAAAGCTTTTTATCCCAGGTGCTGGGAAGCTTTACTAATTCATGCTGTTTTATCGGGGCAAAGCTGGCACATGCGAGACGAGCAGCTTTGTGGATTAGCATCTTTAACACTATTTTGTTCGCCTGCTTGAATGCCGGTTGAAAGAAAAAAAAAAAAGACTGTTTTCATTCCTTTCTCTGCCTGTCTAACCCATCCGGTCGAGTGTGTTGCTGAATTTTTAGCTTCTTCGGATTAGGATCTTGAGTGGAGCTGTTTCATTAACCCACTTGAATTCTGGTCAAAACAAACCTTGTTGTTTTTTTTTCTTTTTTTTTCTTCGTCTAACCAAGCCAGGAGAAGATCCTGCAGAATTTTATTTGTTTTTTTTTTGTTCTGCTTTACAGAAAGTGCTTCCAAACAGAGACTCAGTTGGCTGAAAACAATCCACTTCAACATTATTATCTTTCTCCTGCTGTTAGAGCTGCAATGTCCTTTTCTATGATTGTCTATCAAGCTGCCTATCTCTGCCGGCGCGACAATTCAGTTAATAACCGTTGAGTCCTCTCCTTTCGGCCGAGATGCGAGATAGACAGTGTGACATATGCGGTGTCGACTGTCATTTCTATGGAAACAGAGAGATCTTGTGGTTTTGAAGAGTTCCTCCTCGCTCCCCCTGAAGGATATTACAAGTCAGCGCAGAGTATCGAACTCCGGCGCCCGCTGCAGTGACCCCGTCCCTCCCAGTTGCACACCTTGCTGGGGAGGAGAATTTACTGCTGCCCTTCTACTCAAATTAAGAGGGGAGGGGGAAAAAACCTCTCCCGGAAATCAATGTGGCAGCCCGACGTGCATTCACAATGGCTCTTTGATCAATTTATATCGAAAATACAATTAAACTGTCACAGGGGGAGAAAAGAAAGCCACATGTGCAGTCGGTCTGGTCACCAAGAAGCCCGGGCGAGTCAATAGCTTGCCTTTTCTCCTCTGCCCTCCTATGGTAGCAAATCGTAAAAAAGGCAGAGAGCATGACGCTATGTCCATTAACACGGGGACTTTTGGAGCACTGCATAAAAATCTCCCTCTTATAATGTCAGCCTGTCTATAAAAGAGACCCTGAATCATTTTTCTCCTTAAGAAGAAGACGAGCCTCTCTATTTCTGAAGCCTTTTGAGGCGAAGAGCGGCCGTACATCCTGAAAACAACGAAAAAATCACATTATAAGAAGCTCCTGCACTCATTCTAATCAGCCCCCTTACAATTAAAAATTAAAATCACCAGCAATGATCTGAAAAAGGTATAAAAGAGTCATGCATTTAACGTGGAAAGAGCATCCCTGTAGTCTATAGAAGTAGGCTGGGGTCCTAAACCCCTCTGGCATCTCTCCGCACACCTGCCAACTGTCTAACTTCCCGAAAGCCAACCTGTGCACACACTCCCAGCTGCACTCTGCGTACACACCGTCCAGACAGACTTACTGCCAAAGCTGGAAAGTTAAACGTATAGAAGTTTGACGGTAAGCAGCTGAAACAATGCCCAGAGCTCCACTCCTCACCTCGGCTCTCTCGCAGTAAATCACCTCGGCGGAGGCCCGAGGAGAACGCTTTTAAAGATCGAGCAAAACAGACCTGCTCCAGCTTTAAAGTGGACTGCATGCATATAATTCAGCCTCTATGTGACACTTGTACTATATTATCAGGGTGAGCTGACAGCGATTGCTTGCATCAGGCTCGCAGAGTGTAACGAGTTTATCGTCTGTTTTCTATTTTTATTTAAAGCTGCTGTGAGGAACTTTTTGTCTGTGTTTACTTTGGCGCCCCCTGTGGACAAAATACAAACCTTTGGTGTTAATTGACAAAAAATCTTATTGTCTTGTTTTTAAGGGATATATTCCAGTTTAAAATTAAGTTTGGGTCAAATACGCCGTAACACAGAGTTAGACACCCCCTTGGGAAGTAATAATCACCGTTTTAGTCATTTTTCACTGCAGACGCTGTAGTTCTTCTGCCTTAGTGTCTCGGTCTGATTGTATTTCCATGAAGAAATGATCATAAATGTTCTTCCATGAGCTGTGTCACCCTGCTGTAGTCCATAATGGACTTGTTCAAGCTCTCCACTGCTGGAGGAGAGTGGGTGAGTTGTGTTTAGTCTCTTTGCTAAAGAAATCAGTCAAAGTTACAAAGATGTTTGGTGTCTAGTACTATGTCTGTGACCCTATATGTCCTGTTGATGAAGTTAGGTGCTGTTCTGAGCATTATTTGTGGCTATAGAGTGGTGTTTTGGTTTTTGTATTGTGTATTGCTATCGTGCGGTCGTTACTAAAGTTGGTATAACTAGAGAAGCAAGCAGTCTGCAACATTTATGTCTCGGGGGCGTGTCTAACTCAGTGTTGAAGTGTGTCTGACCCTTACTTAATTTTACGCTGGAGTATCCCTTTAAGGTTGCTTGTTTATCGTAATATAAAATCACGCTTTTATTTTGAAATGACACAGAAACCATTCTCAGTGGTCTCCTACGGCCAGCTAGCTGCTAACATCAAAGCTGCTGCTGCCTCTTCTTGTTGGTGGCTCTAGCATCACCCGGTTTGCTTGACTGTAGCCCTTCTGTACCTCACTGCAGAGATAACTGTGGCCTTAAATACACTAATTTCTACAGTTTCAAACTACATCTTCAACAGGAAGTGACTCATTTTCATACTTTAAAGTCTGTCTTGATGAAAAACAAAAAACAAGAAACGTCTCTTCTCTCATCTACAAACATAAAACTTGATTTCAAACGTTACTTAAAACAAGAGGATTTGCATCTGATGTAAGATCACATCCCCTCAGATGTTTAGAGAAAACTTTGAGGACTCGGTAAAAGAGAAAAAAAAACGACGACAGAAGCGTCTCCGTCTTTGAGCCGTGAAGAAAACCATTAATCCTGCACTTAAACAAATATAACATCAGTAATAGGCGACATATTTTAAAACCTTCCACTCAATTAGACTTCTCTGCTTGGTGATACCAAAATATTTTCAGTGGTTGGCATTTTTTCACAGTGGATGATATTTATTTCTGTTCCTCCGCGCTTCATCTTCCAGTTTGAAGTGGGCTGAGAAGTGGAGTGGTACTCATCAGACATCTGTGCGTGAGAACTTACAAGCCGAGCTGTCTTTGTTTGTGAAATTAATCAGCTTCAAGTGAAGCAAATGTTAGAGCAGACTGGATCTGGCCGCCATTTGTGCTTCACTCCAGTTAGGCCAAAAAGATGGCACTGGAAATGGGCTGCTTGGGGCAATTAGCCAGTTAGCCTTTAAGGCCTTGTGTCCTGGCCTGTCGAGAACTGGCTGCCTTCTCGGTAGCCAGATGGTAGCCTCAGACTGTGCACAAAAATAGCCTTTCAAATGACTGTTGATGTGTAAACTTGAGATGTGCAGTCAGGGCTGCAGAGACTTAAAGGTGTAATGTCAGTTTCTACGTCACCGCCTCTTTTGTTGATTTATTTTCACTCAAATATCCTTTTTATTTTAATTTTTTTAGAAATTCCTCTTTTTTTTTCTTGACTTTGCTGCAAGGCCAGAGCTACTACTGCGATCAGGAGGTCATGTGCTCGGTGTTTGTTTGAGGGAATTTGCAGAATTTGAGTAATTTCTTTGAATGCAGGAGCAGCAGTTTTAGATTTCACCTTTCTACACTGAAAAAAAAACAAACTTCCATCTAAAGACGTGGTTTTCTCACATGGAAACAGGTGAGCTGAAAATACTCATTTCAGGTTAATAGAGTTAATCTGTTTATTGCAACCGTCCCTTCTGAAAACAAAGATCGAGCTCTTCTTGGAGCATGAGCATATTTGTGCTTTTGTCTCAACACAAAATTTGGAGGGAAACGACACAATATTTGCAACTGTAATACAAAGAACTAGACAAATTTCTGCTTTTTAGTCTCGATTTAAAGCCAGAGTATTAAATTCGCAGCCCTGGAGCCAAATCTAGCCTGCAGGCAACCTCCACACCGTCAAACGTACATGTGTACAGTGTAAGTATGCACAAAACAAACTTGCAAGAAAGGCATTTTACTTCATTCCTATTTTTGCAGAGAGTTGCACATGTGCAGTACCTGCAAAATAATGATCCACGGAGGAAGTTGTGTTCAACTCCAACTGCAATATGCCTCATTTACGAGTGCATAGCAGAAATGAAAGTGTACAGAGACTCCTCGGTCCAACTTTTCCAAAGGGATAAAGGAGACCGAGGCCAGAGCACAGGGTTCGACTGCAGCTCAGGAACACAGATGTACAACCCCGCTGCAGTCCTGCAGAGAGCTGCAGAAGCTGTCCTCCATGTGTCACAGATCTTGGCATAAACAAAAGTTCACGGGCTCTGGAGCGCTGGAAGAATGCACGCTGGTCGCTGTGGATGAAGTGAGACTATGCACTGACTGCTGCTTTAATAACATGCACACACCTCAATATGTCTCAGCTGTTAGGGATGGCACAGAAAAGTTACTATAACTACATGACCTTCAGTGTTTTTGTGGGTCAAAGTTTGGAAAATAAAACCAAAAATTAAACTGTTACTGCTTTGAAAAAAAGGACATAAAGAAGTGCTTAAAAGTTGGTTAATGAAGATGCATAATGTCACATAAAGGGGGCCGAGAGGGGCCTCTTTGCTCCTGATCCCTGTGCATCTGAAATCTTAGATACGGCCCTGCTCTGCTCTAAAATCTGTCCGCTTTAATTAAAATATAACTCAGTCACCTGATCGCAGATAAAGAGGCTCAATCTTTGATTATGAAAATCCATTAACCTCCCCCCGACTGAACCAACAGGTGTTCAGAACAGTAGTAGGCAGGCGATAGCGCGAAAACAATCAAAGGTGCTGCGCCCATGTCGCCGTATCTCGCCCTGACATCACTTCGCCCCTGCGACATCGTCAGACAGATGTTTGCTAAGGCCCCGTCTCTGCACGACCTCATCACACCCTTTTCCTCCGCCGCCGCCGCGTAATTGAAGTCGCTCCCTCCTCCTCTTCCTCGTCGCACACATGCAGAAAGTTATCGCCTAATCAACAAACACTGCCAACGTGTGCTCCAGGTCGCCGCTGGAGACCGCAGGGGCTGCCATGGCGCGGGTACAGCAAGGCCTGTGCCATATTGCGAACTCCTTGCCTCCTTGCCAAGGTGAGCAGCTGGTAATGGAGGAGCATGAACAGACACCAACCCCCACCCCCCACAAATAAACACACAAATCCCTGCACCTTCCCACTCTGCAAGCATGAGACGCTTGAGTCCTTCCCTCCAGGTTGCTTCAGCCGCTGAGTCATACAGGACTGGGAAGCATATTATGTCTTTGTTCATCTGGCTTTTCCTTTTTTCTTTTTTTCCTCCCTCCTGATTTCAAGCCCATTTCTTCAGGCCAGTGTTGGAGGCGTGTGTCTGCGTGCGCGCTTCCATGCTAAGGACTACATTGAGGAGTCTACCCACCAGGCCCAGAACCACTGGGGCCTATCAGGGGCTGTAAATACTTTATGAGATATGATAGTACAGCACAAACACTCCTAAACCACAGGCCATTAACCATTTTCAGTGGATATGTGCCCTTTGGTAAAGCAAGAAATAATGAAATAAACAAACACTCTCTTCCCCAGTGACAGCCAGGGCCCTCCGAGGCGTGTATGCAGCTCGCCTGCTAATGAGAGGCGGTGTACTATTCCCCCTCCTGCAGGAGAGGGAAAAAATCATTGGCCAATACAGCGAGATTAGCAAGATTAGCAGCCAACCAGCTCCCCTACGAGACACCGCCAGCGTCTCCTTTTTTTTTTTTTTCCTCCTCCCTCATCTCGATCACTCCTCTTAATTCCTTCCTCTCCCAACCGCCTTTGTTACTCTTGTTCAGGAAAGATTAAAGTTTCATTTGTTAGCGCCTCACAACTCGATAAAGCAGCCGTAAAGAAGAAAAGGAAGGGAAAAAAGAGAAAAGCGAGCAGGGGGAGATTGGGTTTACCAAATAACTGGAGACGGGATGTTGTAATTCAGGCGCAGTTTCATCATTCTATCTTTTACTGTGTGTCAAGAGCTGCTCCCTTGTTTATAATAACCTGCCATTGTGTTATTTCAGATTCATTTTTTCCAGCACAAACAAAAGTGGTTTTGTTCCATGCTGTGTTCTCTGGTTGCCATGATGTCTCTTGCAATGACAAAAGCTTTTTCTTTTGTGTTCCTTGCAGTTTTTTGTCTTTCTTTCCCTCCGCTCGCCCGCTGCATTGTGGGAAAAGTCTCCACCTGAGCGTGCAGATGCCTGTTCTCCGCGCCGAACCATGTGTTCAACTCAAAAGCCGTTTATTCCTTTTTTAGGGCCTCGTTCATCAGTCGTACTTTATCTGGCAATTAACAAACAGTAATTGCAATCAGATAAGATCTACACGCTGCAATCCTATGTGACAACTGGCTAGAGAGTCGACAATGAGGGAAGAGCGCCCAGCTGCATGTACTTGGGGGGGTGGAAACAACAAGCGCTCAGAGTCATGATTAAGTGTGGCGCTCTAAGGTTGATCCCTTAATGACGTCTTCAGGAGACGAGCTCTTAGGCCGCAGCCTCTGGCTCTCTAAGTGTATACCACACTCAGATAATCCGTTCTTCTTTTGCTATTAGTCCTTTTACAAGCTAAAAGGACGAGTGGCACATCAATCAGCGCTCTCCGCAGACAAAGTGGTTTGATCATGCTCGGTACTTACTTTTGATCTTCTTTCACTCGCTTTTTTTTTTCTTCAATCTTTTCAACTTTTTTTGTTCTCCCCCCCTGTATTTGCTCGCCTCATACCATAGCGAGCGTTGTAATCCTTTTAGTCCGGGGCTGAAAGTCAACCCTCAGTCAGGGAGGACGTATGTTTGGGAATCTCATTTGGTTGGACGGCTCTATCCTCCGCAGACACCCGATAGGAATGCAAAGCACTAGCTCCCATTCAGCTCCTCGCACAAAACAGCCTTTCTTCCTCCCCTCAGTCGTCCTGACCTTGCAACGACGCTTCACAATCTCCTCAATTACAGTAGGTTGGAAAAGGAGACGGATATCTTGACTTCCGCACGGCTGCATGTAAAGCAAGCATTATTTGGCTCGTCTTCTTGTACATCCCTCCCAATGTTATCTGGGTCGACATTGTGTTTTCATTTTGTTGAACAAATAATACCTTGGGAAGAAGTCATATTTTACCATAGGGCACGGCGGCCGCTTTAGGACGACTTGATGTGAGTGGAATGGACATCAGCGAGCAGCCGCAGAGCTGACAGTAAGCACAAAACGTATCGGACAGCCAACAGCAAACAAAGCCCGGGGATAGACGGATGGAAGTCCGATATATGAGCATTAGCTGATCGGAGCAGCTTGTCATGTCTACTCTCAGATGATGGGATGATCTTCGTATCCTCGCAGACAGAATGATCCACTCATGTTCGGGATTATATTTACTCTGAAGCATCTCATTAAAGGCAGATCTCTCCTTGTGAGTTGTCACTTTTATAGATGTTCGGAAATACTGCAAGAAACTCATAATTCTTTTGCAGTAGCCCGAGGATGGAGGATGACGTAAGTCTTCAGGAACCCGAGTTCAACCCTGTCGCTTTATAAAACGGCGTATAAAACGGTTCTGTCACAATTTCAAGGATATGTTCTTGATTTTAGAAGTTAAAAAACAATTATGAGTTTGACAACATTGTCTCCACAAATAACAGGAGTTAATAAGAAGTGTACGTCAAAAAGAGTGAAGTGGCAAGCTGCTCAATTATCCTCCTCTGAAAACAAACCTACACGGTGATTAAAAGCAGAAATTAAAGTTTGGTTTTTAAAGTTACTCTCTCTTTAGAGGACAGGAGGTCAGGAACGAGCAGCTTTAGCTCAGTTTGTTTCATCACTTGTCATTTTTACACACTTTATACCGATGAGACATTAAGTTTGAAATCAAAACCATTTAGTTTTTTAAGCCAGAGAAGTCTGAATATGTCCTGCATGTCACTCAAAAGCTGTTTTTCCAACACATTACACCCAAAAGGACGCGAGCTGAGCTCTTTTCAGTGACGTTAGCTCAATATTTTGGACAGGACTTGTCATTTCTGATGCTAATTTTGTTAAAAACAGAAATTAAATGATCCACAGAGCTCTCCTCTTTGCTAAAACATACACAACTGCTGATAAAAACTAGTAAAACTTTGGATGAAGCAACACTCTTAAGCGGCGCTGCGTAGACTGCTAGCCAAACTTAGGCTAATGTGTCTCTCATTAACTCTGATTATAGGCTACGATGATAAAAATACTTCGTCTACTAAATAATATAATGAAAATAAAATAAGTATGCAGCAAAAGTTAGGTAAAAATGGTGAAACAGTTGAGAAGTAGAAGGTTGTTGATGTTTGAAGTGCTAGCATAAAAACTGCTGACTCATGCTAGCTTAAAAAAACTGACTCGTTTCTACTTTCAGATTTACACGTATAAACAACAAAACCTCTTTAAGTTTGTCACTTTCTTCTGCCGTACTTTCATCACAGTACCGTGCCTGTTTTTTGGTTATTTTTCTGGCTTTAAACTGTTTAGAAAACACACCGCAGGTTAAAACCTTTAAATAAAAAAGTTGCTTTACACACGACTTTGTGTAAAGCTGTTATGCAAATAACAAACTAACAGCAGGTTAGATTTGAATTTATTTTGGATTGGCAGATTGGGAGGATTCAAATTAAGCAGAAGTCACAGTGACAAGATAGAAGTCGATGCTTTTTAAAGGACAGAAATAGAAACTTTCATGGATCGTAGTGTGAAAAGTTAAAGCTGTGTACTCAGTGGCTTTTAGGGGAATTTAAAAAGAAGACTAAACAAACTAAGGGCACAGATGAAAGGGAAAATAAAGGTGAAAGAGTTTGGAAATGGAGGAAAGGCCAGTCAGGAGTTATCATTTGTGAAATGGAAGTTGTTCCTTTGTTTCTGCAGCAAACATACTGTCACTTAAGAGGTCTGATGTCTTCACTTCTGACAGATCACTTATTCACTTGGCCTTGTCAACCCACCCACCTCCAGTCTGTTCCTCCATAATGGGATGGAAGAACAAAGGTTGCTCTCCTGTCACTCTGTACTTAGTATCTCTCTATTTCTTTTATTAATAAAGTTTCTCTTTGTGCCGTCCTCCTCTTCTTCTCTTCTCTCCTCACCTGAGTTGTTATGACTGCCGACACCCTCTACAGAGTACTGCTTTTATTCCAGGCTGACCAAACTGCTGTCAGAAACTAAAAAACAGTGACAGAGTTTAAATTCAGACGAAATTTCCAGGGGCACAGGGTCCCTCGGGGGGAGCAGCTCCCATCTCCCCCAGAGACCTGAGCCCATCTCAGAGCTGAGGGGAAGAAAGTGAGATTGGATTTCGCTATGATGAAAGTAAACCGTGGGCGTAGAAACAGCCACGTCACCTGCTGGTCTCTCATTGGCTACTGTGAAGATTAAAGATGGCGGTCACCGTATACAGAGGTGGAGCTGATGTAGGCCTTATGCTAACTTTAATACAGATTAAACGTGCATATCAATCAGTCAACCATATGTGCATAATTATGCAAATTCAAGTGCATAAACAAATTTATTGACATTTAAACATGAGGTTAATAGGGATTCTCTGTGTTTTGGGACAGACTCTTGTGGACATTTGGGGAACTGCACTTCACTTTTTGCTTATTTTTTGACCCCTTTTGATTAAACAATATTAAAATATTGATGCTTTAGTGCTGTTCTCTTTAAGATACAAAAGTTTTTCTGAAAACACTGAAAAACTTTTATTTTTAATCCTCATTTTGGACGAATATGAGCTTTTATAACCGCAAAATCACTTAGCTATTTTCTCTAAACGGCTAATTTTCTTAAATATTTGAGTTCTGCCTTTATGAAATGTCAACAAACTTTAATTTTATTATCTATTTAAATACCTTACATCATGTTTTGTGTGAGTAATCAGTCTAGTCCTCTCTTGAGGATTATCGGCACCAATATCCGATTTGGTATTGGCCCAAAAATAATCAAATATCTGTCGATTTCTACCACAGCCGTTAGCTGACTGATCTGGATCTCTCCCAGATATTTTTCAGTGTTTTTGTTGTTGTTGTTGGTTGCATCCATATTCACGTGCTAATGTTGAACCGTGGTGTGTCCTCATGTGTTTGTATCTAAGTTCAGATCAGATGAGCTAATCTGTCGTGGTCTCATCTGTGAAGGACTCATTAGGCGGCTATAATCGGAGCACGTTGGGATCAGGTATATCAGATCATGAACATGAACGTGTGTGATCACACTCAGCAGCTGCTGCAGATGTGACAGATGTGCTCCTCTTTGTGTGCGGGGAAAAACAGAAAGTAGGTTGTCACACTACCTTTCCGACGTACTGCATGTCCGTCCCGGTGTACTCCTCCAACAAAAAGAACTGGTTCCACATCCAGCCTCGTTTGGAGCGCCTGAGCGGCACCCCGTTGGCGTCCTCTCCTGTCAGTCCCGTGGACCCCCTCCGCCCCCCTGTAGTCCTCCTCAGGGCCTTGAGCCCCAAACCCGGAGAGCTAAGGTGGGCTAAAACCCACAGCACCATCAACACGTAAACTTTCCTCCTATCCATGGCCGTGCCGCCGCCGCCACACCACGTCCGTCGTCACCCCTCCCTCGCTCGTCTTCGTCCGCTGGTCTCCAGTCAGAGTCTTGGATCAGTCCACATGCTGTAATCTACTGAAGCAGGAAGAGCTCCTCAGACTCTCACAGGACGGCAAACAGTAACCTGGAAGGTTTACACAGAAAAACAGAGCGTCAATACTGGGAGGAGAGGCAGCAATTTGTTACTGAACGAGCATCTTTCTCTGTTTGTTTCATAAACTCGAAGTCGACACGAACTCCAGACTTCTCAAATCGAATCGAACCAAAGTTGTCTTTCAAAATGAGCCGTGAGCTTTTTTATTCCTCAGTCAATAAAGATACAGATCCAGAAAGTTAGAGTTAAAAGTCTGACATTGAAGAGATTTAACAGAAAAAGACAATGAGCAGAGCAAACAAAAGAAGGACGGAAATCCAGTGACAACAAATGATGAACTGCTCGGTAAAATCATTTGACCCGGTTTGACGACACAAACTTATTTCCTGCTCTCAGACAGGAGCTCCATCTCACACACTGCAGGCGCTTTTTCTGCACATTGTTAAACTTTCCACTTTCGGGTGAATTCGAGAAGCTGAGATGTTACATCAGAGGTGACCTTTGACACGCAGCGAGTCAATGACAAGAATCTGAAATCCTCCGAAAAGCAGGAATAAAAACACAAATTTATGATGTTTTATTTCTATGAAGAGATCTCCTGCTGTAGCTTTGGGCGTCTATTTCACAAAGTACTCAGTTCCTGTCAGTCTCCTCCTATGGTGTGCAATGATGCAAAACTTCTCAGCTGAGACTTCTGACATGTTTCCTCAGCTGTAATCTTGATTTAATTCCTACATTCTGCTCCCACAGTACGAGAGTTTTAACGGAGGGAGGTCATCCTCCTGGAGCTTCTGTTTGAAGACCTTCAAACAAACCCTCGGCCACAAATAGAGAAAAGCTACGTTAAACCTTGTCTTCCATTATACTGCTCTCACTGCGAAGAAAAGGACGGTTTGCATTCAAGTACAACATGATAAAAGTGTTACCGTGAGAGCGGCCCTTCATTTGATTGACTTTCCTGCAGCTTCACACACACACATCCACACACACACACATCCCTACAAGCCCTGATATACATTCATGTGCACACACTGGATGTTGAATGTCAGTCATCTGATTGATGGGCAGGCGGAGAGCTGCCTAACCTGATAAATATCAGATTAGAAATATTACACACCAATGTATGGACTTACATCTTGTATAGCACGTGTGGAGCGACTTTATCTACATTAAGCTTCTGAATCAACATCTAATAGAGCGCCGGGTTCTATGTGGAGCGGCCGCTCTATCTTTTTAAACAATCTGCTCCGGCACACTTTGTTATCAGGCCCAGCAGAATGCCAATGGAGACCCTGGGCAATGTCAACCCCAGTTTATTACCTTAAGATCAGAGTAAAGATACTGAACAAAATGACTGTTTGCAAACCACAGAGAAGGGCCTTGTCGTGGGCCCTGGAATATCTGCGCTCGCCGTCCCTCAATCATGTCTCCAACCCGAAGGCCAACGCGGAATGTGCCAGCCAATGTGAGAAAGAGAACAAGAAGAACAGCGCAGGACGGAGGAGGAGGAGGAGGAGGAGGAGGAGGAGGAGGAAGAGAAAGAAGGCCATGTATTCTGCTTTTGTTCTCATTATTCCTCCCCGGCTGGGCGATATCCAGGCCGCCAGTGTTCCTCGACTGGGATGTGGAGGGAGGGTTATCGGAGGGTCCGCTGGGGAGCGTCTGCAGCGTGTCTCCCTATCGCACGCTCTCAGAAGGCAGGAGGAGGGAGTGGGTGGGAGAGGAGGGTGAAGTCTAGCTTCGATGAACGTATAGCGGGGGTAGATGGCTCTCCTCGAACCGAGCGAGGAGGAAGCGATGTCTCTGGACATGAATTAAGCACCCTGACCTGTGAAGCTAGACGGACTAAAAGGGAGAGGAGTGGGGAAGAAGGTGCGAGCTTTGGGAGCGCTGTCAGATAAAAAAAAAAATTTCATCCGAGATACCAGCGCTGACTACGGTATTTGAAGATCTGATTCTATAGAAATGAACAAAAACCATCAAGCGATGTCGCAGAACAACTGCTGAGCTTTGTGCAAACAGATGTCTCACCACATCGGCTGGGACGGCTTCATAGCAACTTTTCCAACAGGGGGTTTTGATGTCGGCTGGGTGTCTTTGTCGGCTGGATAAACAAAAATACAGTAGCTGCATATTTTTCACTTCTGTGCCTGTCTGTCAAGCTGTTTGCGGCGTAAAAAAGAGCTGGTTCAAAACATAATGGGGAGTTTGATATACTTTTGTGTTTTCAGCTATTTGGCTCTGTGTGTTCCTCTGGCAGATGTTAACAAAGACAGTTTACTTTCCCTGCTGCAGGCACATCCGCGCGTACACCGAGGGCACAGATTCTAACTTTGTGTAAATACACCCGGCGACTCTCTCTTTCAGGCAAAAATAGTGAAAAGTGTTTCACCTTTTACAAAGTTCCTGCTCATAAATTTTTTCTCAAATAATGAAAACGAGTGTTAATGTGAGATTTAGAAACCCAGTTTTTGAAGCACTCAGAGTGTGAGAATGAAAGCAGAAAGTGAGGATAAAGGAAGAGAGTGCGACCGAAGAGGAGAGTTCAAAGCTCATGAAATTATGAGTTATTAAGAAAGAAGAGGAAACTATTAAAAAAGACAGTTTAGCAGAATCACAGCTTGTTTGTCTGAGAGCTAGCTGATATATAACAGCTGAAACAGGAGCTGCAGTAACCAAACATTTCAGTAATCGAGCATATTATTGATTAATCTGCTGAGAAAGCATTATCTTATCATGTCTGATTACATTAATTTGATTGGCTAACGCACATCTACTTATACATAATTATCCTCATATCTATTATACCTGTATAACACCTTAAAGATAGTGAGAAAGAGAAGGCAGTAGGTGTGTACACAAATCCTGGCCACCCCGACCTATGTCAGTGCTTCACTTGTGCCCCCCCAGTCTAAAAGTCTGGACACGCCCCTGCACAGACGAAAGAGTGGGCTCTGCTGTCAAGATGCAGGACAACATTTATCTGCTTGTTCTTGTTCTTTGTATGTAAAACACGGAGATGTTTATCTATTTAAGGTCTTGATTATTGCATGCTAAAAGGTTAAGGAGCTTGAAGCTTAACAAACAGACTCTGTGGACCTCTTCGTTAACCACCGGCAAAATCAGGAGTAAGAACTGCCCCCTGTGTTCCTTTGTTCCCTTTTTCGTTTCTCTGTCTTTATTTTTGAGAAAAAGGGAAAAATGGTTGTAAAGAAATTATTGTCTTGAACTAGGCTATACTAAAAATAAAGTTCAAAAACATTTATCTGCTGATTTTTAAAGAACTTAGAAAAAGAAAGAAATTAGTCACCCCTGAAAGACAGTAAGAAGGTGACTCCCGCACTGGCAGGACGAACATTGACAATCAGCTGGAGCGTGATATGCAAAGATAGTAGTAATAATAATAACACATGATATTTATAAAAGCCTGTCTCAACACTCAAGGTCACTTTACAGATAAAAGAGTACAATAAAAATGAGGTAAAAGCAAACACATACAACATGAGACGAGTGAAATCATACCTAAAAACGAGTCTCTCACAAGTCAGTAAGGATGGAGTTTCAGGAGATTTCACCACGATGAAAAACTCAGGTCCTCTGTTCTCCTTGTGCATTTTCACAGCATTATATAAGATGTATAAAACCGCCAATTGAGGCAAAAGTTTGATTCTGTGGTTGACAAAGACACAGCATCTGGACGACATTTCAGATTTTTAATAATAATAAAAAATATATATTTGTAATTCTGGTAACAACTAGGAGTATTCATTTTACTGTGACCTACAAGCCTGTTTAAATGCTACTTTGCATGTCATTTGACTTTAAAGCGTACATACGTGGCTGCAGTTATGACTGATGATCCCAAACCTCACTAAAGACCAAAACAATCCCATAATACTCGTGTCCTACTTTTAGCTCCTCACAATAGAAGACATTCTCATCCTGTTCCTATATTGAGATGACTCCTAATGTGCTTTTTTTTATACACTCAGAGATGCTTTATCTAATACAAAATACAAGGCACTAAATTACCTTCCAATAGTCGTCCAGAATGAAGCCAATTGTGAACGATTACATGTCTGCACTGTGTGGTGGGGTCTCTACTGATTCTAACAAAGCCAGACGATGTCAAACGATCCTGAGTAAACCTTACTCCTCTAAACCAAACCTCCTCCCTACCTTGGTTTGTTTGTTTACGCCCTCCAGATGTGGTGCTGAAGTGGAGTTTGGGCGATCGAGAAGTTACTTGCTGAAAGTTTTTGATATCAGATGTAGTTAACGTGACAAGACTAAGGGGCAAACAGGGAGCGAGAGGGAGTCAAGGAGAGGTAAAAACGTCCTGTCAGAGCAGCGTCAGCAGTCAGGCTGGGAGACTGGCCCATCCATTACGCTACCTGTCTTCTGCAGGCAGCCAAGGCATGCCCCGCTTTCCCCTTATGAGGCAAATTGCGAGCAGTGGAAGCTGGGGGGTTAGGTCCCCTCTTTCTCTTTTCCCTCATGCGTTGCAGTTTATAGCACTCCTCCATCCGCCCTCCCCCTTCCTCCCGCCTCCCTTTCCTCCTCCCCCCAGCTGCCGGTGCCTACTTTGCTTGCATAGGCCTGAGCTGATATGCATTATCGCTGGGCTTTTCGCTGAAAGCCAGTCACTTTGCATGTGTCCTCTGCCTGGCTCAGCACGGGCAGGGGGAAAAAAAGACTCCCGGGTCAACAGTGCGTGTGCTGATGGAGGCAGGTGAAAGTGAGATGGACTGTCAGGTTTCTTAATAATACCCGTGGAGAAATACTCTCCCAGACCACCACTCTCTACTTTCTCGGAGCTGCAAATCTCATGGCAGTAGCTGTGTTTCCTATCCAAATTTGCCAGATGACTGGATGATTTTTTTCCCTGCTCTCTTTTCCCCTCTCTCTAGTATTTTCCCTTTTTATTTTCATCCCCCAACTCCCAGCGCACTCGACTTTATGAATTTACTTAATTGACGCTGGTGAGGAGCATGAGGGACTTTGAGCTATTGATTTGCTGTAGGCCTCGGCGTAGTTGGAAATACCAGTCGGTCTCAAGGGTGGACTCATGAAGCTTTCTACCTCGAGTCCCCCCAGCACTGGGAAGCCGGCCTTTTCAATAGATTTCTTCATAATGTCACTGTGGAAAGCTAATGCTTTCTCTGTATGGAGGGCTCCATCGTCCCCAAGGAGTGCTGGCCCCTTGACCACATTTGTCACACCCTAGAAGCCATATTGTACAGCTCCATGCCCTGATAATTCGCTTGACAAGGGACGGCGACCGAGAGGACGTGGGCCTGAGCTTTATTTTGCGACGTCAAAAAGTGTCACAGCTGGTTAAGGATGCCATGGCGCCTCATGTAACCCGGTGGCTACGACAAAATGCCTGCCTCTTTACATTTGTACTGTATGAAAGTGAAGTTAGAGGGAGAAATGGGGGAGACTTGAAGGGTATTTTCAATTTCTCACAGCCTGGATCTTATTCCAAAGGGGTGGCCTTTGCCTCTATTGGCACAAAGTTAATTACCCAGATTAAAAATGATGGTTATAATTGCTGAGAAACCTTTCTAACCCCTCGTTTAAGCACACTAATTGCAAAGGCCAAAAATAGTCCCGCATTGGAAGAATAGGAGTTCTACCTGGAATCACAGTGAGTACATTTGAGGTGCTCTCTAGACAGGGATACAGGCTGACTCCAAATCATACTGTAACTCGAGATCTCAGCAGTAGCAGATCTGATAGAAAACACGCCATTTTACTGCAAATTGTTTCATTTCTGGCAAAGTCAAGATGTTTTCATAACGCTTAAGTTTTACATCAACTTCGTCTTTACCAGGGATTCAAAAGCAGACCGGAAAAACACAGGATCATAGAGTCTGCAGGTTTGTCTTGGTGAGTGTGGCTAACATTAGCAGAGCTAGCACCACCTGTCATCAGTCGTCCACACTCCTGTGCTGGTCCTACATCGCTCTAATCCACCAATTACAGGCCTGTTTGGGTTCCACGCCGATACCCGACTCTAATACTCCCAAACCACGCCCACGTCTTATGTCAGCTGATCCTGTTTCCATCCAGGTTGATTTACGGTATTCACTGCAGCCTGAGCGAGTAGCATGTGGCCTCTTATTCCATCAGATCTGTTTAGGCTGATGCAGACTTGATGTGAAAACAAGATTATTACAAGGTCATGCCTCGTAATTATTGTACTGTAAAGGTTTAAAAGTGTTTCTCTGTGTTTTAAGGGAAAAACCGACTGGAGAAAACATCCATCACTATTTGCAGACCGTCCTTTATCGACTTTGACCTTTTGTGCCTCCAGGAGCAGGATCATCCAGTTTATCTGAGCCTTCAGCTCTTTTCTGTGTCTCCATTGTCTTTGTGAGTGTCATGTTTCCTAAGAACAAAGTAAATTAAATGTGAAAACATAAAAAAATTAAAAGAAATAACTGGGTTAAGCTCTTTTCAAACAATAAAGCTGTCTTTGCTGTAATCGCGCTGCCATGTTGGACCACAAACAAATGAGCATCTTCCAGCGTCTTCAGCTTTTTCTTGGAAGTTGAACAATTCTGTTGAACAATTTTTGTTATAAGAGATATGTTTGGAGGAAAGCATGGTGCCAAAATGAGTTTGTTTCTGGACCCGAGACACAATTTTAATGTTTAAAAAATCGAATTTATCAAAATGAGTCGATGTGAAACAGAAGTGACGGTTAAACGACTTCTCCTTCACCTTTAACCGACTGAAGTTGCTGCTGATGTGGGCAAACAGCGTTATTACATCACTTTAAGTTCGACTTCCAAATGAAATTCATCCAAACCATCTGTTTTCATCCCAACAGAGTACTCTGCAGCAATGCAAGTGTGCTTCCAGATCCCAGAAACAAGCCTGGCAAGTGCAATGTTACCCAGCGGATATCGCAGCCAAAAAGCACAAACATAAGTTGCAATGAAGCTGAAATTTTCCTTGAAGGAGAGAGGAACCTGAACACGAGTGCGTAACCCTGACAGGGAGAGCGCCAGAGAGAAAATGAGGGCTCTTGTTCGGGGCCGTCTTCCTCGAGCGCCAGTCGCTGTAGGTGATTTTGGGAAAACAGCCACAGGTCTCGTCTTCGCCTGTTCGCCTTCTCAGGGAGCACCGTCGTCATAATGAAGGTGTGTAATAGAACATGACACCATAATTATATTCCTCCAGTTAAGAGGCAGTGTTTACAACAAGCACGAGGCTGCCTTTATTTTCTCCCTCCTTACGCACACCCTCGCTCTCTCTTCGTCTCGCTCTCTCGCCCGCCCCGTCTCCGCTTCGTATCATGTGCCGTTTAATTGCATTAAAAAAAAAAAATCCTTGATGAAAAAATGAAAAAGTAAATTGCTTTAAATTGCCTGTCACAGATTGTGTGGAGTCACTGTGGAGCAATAAGACTCGTGCATTGTGTTGTGGTGTTGGGTAAGCAAGATTAATGTGTCTGCTGCCAGTTTTTGAATGCCCTGTGATTCGACGCTCAAAGAATTGCCTGGGATAACATTTTGAATCAGAACAATTAGCTATTAAATGTATCTATTGGTTTTATCGAACACAGGAGGATGAGGATAGAGACGGGGACACAGCGAGTCGCACAAATGCATTCGTCAATACATATTGGATCTGGCCGGCTAATGGCCTTTCCAGCGCACATGTGCTATACACAACGGGCCTGTGTGGCATTTTAGCCTAATCTAGACTTGGAAATGACCTCTAAGGGTAGGCCTACTCTTCCTCTCTCCTTTCTACCTTCTTCTGCCTCCCCCATTTACTGTTTTTTTCTCTAACGAGGTATATGAGCGACACGGCAAAGCACCCTATCGCGCCCGTTGAGCCGAAGACTTCCACAGCAACCCAGAAAGAGCCTCCAGGGTGCAATTAAAAGTGAGAGAGGAGAATGTCAGGCAGGGCGGCGAGCGAGGGAGAAGGGGGAGGTGGGTTGGGCAACGGTGCCACAGGTAACGCGGCGGAGTTACAACCCACAGAGGAGGCCCTTAAAGGCTGCTAATGCGCAGAGGTGTCAGCAGCAGGTTGTTCCACCATCCCCGTTCCCTTTGGCCTCCTCGCCTCCCTCTTCCTCCCTCGCCACCCTCTTCCTCCCCCTCACTTCCTTTCAAACTCAGTTTGTTAAGATTGTCAGACTTACAGAACATGCCACTCACACTCCATGGTATGCTGCTCGCTGGAGAAATTTAGAGGTAAATCCCATGTGTGAACCAGGCAGTCGTGCACCTCGACCCAAATCTGCGGCTCTCCATTAGTTATACCGCCCATGTGGGTTAGTGGTCCACAACCGAGCTGGAAAAACAGGCAAATTATCAAAAACTGGGGAGCTGAGTGAACTTCTGCTCCCTGCGTGTACAAGAACAAGCCATGCCCTTGCAGAAAAATGGAAACAGATGTGACCAAACAGAAAAAAACTCCCAGAGGAACCCTGTCAATAAATATTGATCTCTGGTATAGCGGAGAAACACAGTCTAGACACACGGCCACATTGTCTTGAAAATAACTTCACCCCACCCCAATCTGACGTACAGATGCGCACGCCTCACAGATTAAGGCGAGGAAATTGATCACTAAAAGGAGATTTCAGACAGATGGGGGATATTACCACAAAGGAAAATAAAAATGTCTACGGACTGAAGAGGGCAAATTCATCATCATAAAAATGCTGGCGAATAAACAGCTGAAAATCCCTAGTCAAATTGGAATGCAAAGCTGAACCGAAATTTCTGACTGGATGTCAGCAGACCGGTGCAAAAACACCAGAGTCCTCCTCTCAGAGAAATCAGGATTCAACCTACAACACTGGAAGAGAACCAAGACTCAGATCTCTGGGCTGCCTTTCTGCTTTTGAACGTTACATCTGCTCTCTCGCTGCAAGATGTTAAAACCAACTTTTAAAAATTATTCCTAACATCACTTACAAGATGGTAATTCAGGTAGTTAGGGAATACATATCTGTCCAGATCACTAGTTTCAACCAGACTTCAATTGTACAAAATTTTCAGTCACACAGTAATAAATTGAAAAAAGTGTAGGACCTAAAATGGAACCCTGGGGAAGGCCACAATTGAAATTTGATAACATATCAATGGAAGTTACGCAAGTTAAGAATCAGACCAGTTAAAAACAATGAAGGCATATTAAAAGTGTTCAGAAAATAATCCCACAGTTAGAAAAATCTTTATCAAAACACTGATTATTCTCACAAATTTAAAACAAAAACACAACAACATAACAAGCCTCTAAAATGTTCATTTTACAAGTATGCAAACTAAACTTGTATTTTTAATAGTTCTGATTGTGTCTGAAAACCAGCAGGACGTCGACACGTTATGTTAACTCAGCATTGCCTTCTTGTCTCATTTAGAATCTCATTTAGTTTGCCAGACAACAAACTAGCCAAAATGTCATGTGGATGTTGCATCAATGAGGTAAAGTAACAACCAAATGCAGCAAAAATACAAAATATTTTCCAACTCTAAGTTTGATCTGGACGCTTGAAACTCACAACACATCGAAGCCTGATTCACTAACCAAAACACACAGCTAGCTTACCGATAAACCGTAACAGATCCATTCAGGTTGGTAACAAAAGGCAGCAGTTCTGCAGTTCCTCAAATGTCCACTAGAGGCTGGCCCCAACAGCAGCAGGTTCCACATACACACCCTTGTAGAAAAAATAATTAAAGCCTGAAAAGCTCAATTCTCATTTGACACAAACTTTCTTTTACTTACTAGTTTTGAGGACGTTAAGATTAGGTGTATTGCAAAACTACAGGCGTGGCTGAATTAACTGACAGGTTGGCAAAATGTAGCTGTTAGCAAGAAGGCTAAAGCTCTTTAAAAGTAAGATTGGAAAAACGCTAAAACCTGAGTTTACTGGATGCGAAATGTGCTCTTTTGTTTCCATGATGCATCCTTGTATCATTTTGTAACTCCCACGCTGTAAAGGACTTGCTTCCAGAGAAGACCGGTCCAAAAATATGTTATATTAAAGTGCATATTTTTTAAAGGAACAGACTCTGCCAGCATCACAATAAACAAGTCTAGCAGCTCTTGGATGGGTTGTAGGTTTTATTTTCTCTGATTATCATACCACTAAAAACTTGTTTAATCTGCGAACATTATGTTGATCATTTCTTGTGTTTCTGCCTGTAAATATATCAGGAAATATGCAGATATGAATCTCAGATGATTTGTAGTGAAACCCTCAAACTGTTGTGAATATTTTCATACATGACGGTAAACTGTGAGCATGTCCCCTTGTCTGAATGGCTGTAATCCAAACAAATTAGCTCATACAATCCCTGTTGGAGGCAGGGGTGTGCCCACAATATTCATCCCAGTGCGCCGCTCCAGAGCTCACTGCAAACACATTACCTTGCCTCGCTGCCCAAATGCATACCAAATAACCCATATAAATCATACAATCTGGGCCAAGTCAATGCGAGCCGGCTATTTTCCCTGTTTTCTAGTTATTTCCACTGTGCCATCATTCAGCACAGCTCGCATCACTCAGTCCGCGGCTCTCACAACTATTGCCGGAGTGGCCCAGTTTAGAGCCCACAGAGGCTTCCTGAAGTAACCCTTCCTCCAGTGCACTTGATATTTTATGTCTGCACAGTCTGGACTAAATTGTGGGCTGCCAGCTCTCCACACTCGGCTCTGTCTTCCAGCTCACTCCCTTTTTCTTTCTCCCTGTTGTCACTTTGACAAAAACAAAGATGGGCTTCTATGAACTTGCAGCAGCAGAGTTTATGGCTGTGTTTACCATCGAGCGACAGCACAGTTGAAGAGGACCCTCTCAGCACATTATTTTAACGGGTCCCTCCTCTCTGAAGTCACTCCAGATTCTCTTAGTATATTAGGGCAGCATTGTTTTGTTCCAACTCCAGTGCCAAATAATGGCTTAAAGCCCTGGAAAATGTTTTTCTTGAACTGTGTCATCATAAACAACAAAGCCTCTCACTTTTCTAGCGAGCAGACTCTGATTCCACTCCTCAGAATTAATTGACTAAATGGGAGCTTAAAGTCATTATCTCCCCTCGCCAGTTTTCCAATCCTGCGCTAGGGGCTAATAAATGGAGGTTTGATTCCGCTAAATGTCCTCTCGCGAAGATTAATAACGCCTAGTACTCTGGTGGCGAGCAGATGTGGTCATCCTTGCTCGACGGCTGAACAAATGGGCGCAAGACATCCTGGCACATAAAGAGCAAAGAAATAATAGCTTAATGGCATTCATCCGGCGACATGATGGCAGATGAGACATCCTCGGTTGTTTGCTTTCCTGTGTGTTCACAAGAGCACATGTTTTGTCACCAGCGGCTGAGGGGTCTAACACAGCTGACAATGGGAGAGAGGGGGAGGGAAGGCGGGGGAGCTCAATGGACGGGTCTGCCGGCTTCCTGCTTTCCCTACTGTGGCCTTTGTGGTGACACACTGGTGGTTATGGGAGCCTCCGTCTCTATGCAAATGAGTGTTTGCTTCCCAAGTGTCAGTGTGTGCCATGTGCAGTCAAGCGCAGGCGTCTGTTTTCTGTACATTTAGCCCCGCGCAGTCTGGAGCAAAAGGCCAAGGCAGCTCCAATTCAGGGATAATACTCCCAATAAAGCGGGTAATTAAAAGCTGTTATTTCCATTCAATATTTTTGTTTACACCTAAATATTATCGCCCCGCCAGGGTGTCGGATCAGGCTGCAGCCGCTGCTTTTTTAACGAATAGTGCGTCTCTGGAAGCAGATGCATTGATTGTGCTGCGTAAAGGTCGAACCTGACGCAGTGAATTGAAATCAGTGAGGGAGTTGTGTTCCCACGTTTGTCTCAGCCTCCCCGTTGTGACAATTACATGAGAGGGAGAGACGTGGAAGCACATTTTCATTCAGGCGTATATCGACTGCAGCAGCGGGTCAGCGGCGAGACAGCTACAAACACAATCGTCACACAACACTAAATATTACATGGAGGTAAAACAAAGACATCACAGGACTGAAATATGACCCTAATAAAAGGCGGTGCTGGGAAAAAACTGTGTCCCCTCGACTATGAGTAATGACCTTGCCTAGAAGCCCACCATAAAATAACACAGAGGCAGTTAGGAGCACCTGTTTTTACATTATTAATGGTTTAGGTTTCACACAAACACAACAACCTAGAGATGTGTGCTGCTACTCTGACTTCTGCTAAATTGGACCAAATGCTCTGAAACTGCATGCATACAAAAGCAGCGAGGCGTTTGAGTGCTAAGAAAGCCATTTGTCACCGGCAGGACTTCTGCAGGGGGTTATAAAAAAGACAGAAACGTGATAAGAACCCTTCAAGAACCGGGCCTGCGGTTTCGGATAACACTTGTACTTGAATGTGCATCTCAATCGATGGCAGACATCTGCTCTGACTTTGGATTTGACACAACACAGTCGACCAAAATCACCACCAATCGCAGGAACCTCAAATCGGACCCAGTCGTTTTTGTTTGTGCTACTTTTGGCGCCCCCTGTGGACAAAACAATACTTGCTTCTCTTTACTTCGTAACCTTATACCTAAAATCCAATCCTGCTGGCTCCTGAGAGTCAAATCTACCATCTACTGTGACTATTAGCTGCTCAGCTACCCCCTTTCACGCCAGTTTAAGGCGTGAAAGTTCAGGATAAAAAACCCATCAATCTTGTCGCTAATGGTCTTGTTGGCTCTTGTATGTCATTAAATGAGTTTCCATCTATTGTATAAACATCAAAAACCTCTCATGGGAGTTTTAAACAGACTTTACTTCAAAAATTAAAAGTATAAAAATGCTTCAAACACTTTATTTTCCTGGATCTTTGTATGTCGTGGTGAAATCCTGAGCTCTGTCTTCGCCGTTTCCAATCATGTCAAAAGAGATCCAGGCGTCCTCCGAGAAGAAGAACAACAGACGGCGGCGGCGATCTCCTCTGACCTTAACTGTGACTCATGTTTATTTACCTCTGCTAGTTATCCCTGAGGGACAGCGGCCTCATCACTGAAATGAGCGCTGTGATGGGCTGCTTTTTTATTGCCACTCCTGGGAACGGACAACTCTAATGAACAAAGAAGCCTGATTGATCCGCGTTAGCGTTTGATTCCCGGCCGCTGCCGAGTTACACGCTTCAATATTCTGGCACGCCATTGGAGAGAACCCTTGAACTTTGCTGTACACACATCTTTAATCACGCTCACCTTTTCTCGTGGCTGGTGTGACTTCCAGCTTATTTGTAATTACCAAGCTCCTCGGGGGGGTTGGCTGAACAACAGGCCGCGGCCATAGGTCATGATGAGGCACTGTAACGGGCCATATGGGCTCCGCGGCCCAGGGGCAGAGAGTGGGTGGACGGTGGCGTTGGCAGAGGGGACGCTACCAGAATGGTCAGAGCTGGAGATTGAATTATTCGGGGACAGGAGACAACCTTATCGAGCAGCAGCCACATTGCACCGACACATTTGCACCCCGGTTCCTGTTTTCTATTTCACACCTGGACTATCACCAGATAGGATATGTTCTGCCACCTCGTTTCACCCCCAGATTCACCACTCAAAAGAGGGTATACTGCATTATCTATCACCGCCGTACCACCCGTGGCTCCCTTCCTTCGTCTATGCCCGAACCCTCTCCTCGCCACCCCTCCCCTCGCCCTCCCTGCTGTCACCGACGCGCCAACAGCATGGTGTTATTACAGATAAACAATCAATACTGCATTAACGCGTCCGCGGCGGCTACCTGGAGTTTAACAGGCAGACACAGGAAATAATTCAACCCAATGTCATGGGCGGACTTCGGGCAACTAATCTTGCTCATGAAGCGGAAAAAAAAAAAGTTAAATATATAAAAAATTCAGGCCACTCTCTTTCATTATCCCGAGCCATCATTTCTTTGTGTTTGAGGTCACCACATACATTTCTTTTCCTTCCTCTCCTCACTGGTCACAGAATGAAACGCCACTGCATTAAAGAAGTAATACCCCACTTTATAGCAAAGGTGACCATGGATATTGGAGAGCAGGGACCCATACGATCGATTTGCAGCGAGGAATGGAAATTTTAACATGATTCCCAGCCAGGCATTTTAACTCTGGGGTATTGGACCCTCTCTTTTGATGACTGCTCCCAATCTGACTCACTATCCCATTTCGAATTCTGATGACGTCTTCATCTAAGGGAGAGGGCAGAGAGCGAGGCGAGCCCCGGTGTCCCGCCGACGGCTGTGTGGTCCTTTTCCTCTTGTGTGCTGCGCATTTGCATCTACATTGAAAAAAAAAAGGCAGCTTTTTGTTTGCAACCTCTGTGAAAAAAATGAAAACAAAGGGGTTCTTATGAGGAGGCCCAACAAATAGTCCCTCTCTCAGCCTGGAATTAAATACTCCTCATTCCATCCTCATTCATTAGCCCCCACGCCCACAACCCCGACGCCACACGGGGGTATGAAATACCTCGCAGACAAAATAAAGGAGCTGGACTTGGCTGAGTGATTGCAGAAACTGTTTACTAATACTGCTGCTCACTCTGCTTTATTACGGAGTGCCAGGCTTTCCATTACTGCAAAAAAGGAGAGAGAGAAACGGGGGGAGAAGTGAAAGAGGAGGGGGACGAGGGGAGCAGACAGCGAGAGAGGGACTGCCGATGTCAGATTAAAAGAAGAAGAAGGAAAAAAAGAATAGCTCAGTTGATTTACACCTTCATTACTCTCCCCTAACTCTGCTTATTGCAAATCATGATGCTGCTTTATGAGCTGAATCCTCTATTACGACAAGGCCGGGAAGACGCTGCTTTAGTCCATAAAGCAACCGTACAGTAACCGCCACCCAGCAGCAAGCGGCCCACTCATCCTTCCACCAAAGTGCCAGAGAGGAAAGGAAAGGAAGGAAGATAGAGCTCTGAAACTGGTCTCGGCATTAAAACCTCTTTACTCGCCTGTTTGCTCGAGTTTTCCCCAGGTGCTAGCTACAGACCGAAGGTGCTATATCAAGTAAAAGTAGAGATACTTGTGTACAAAAAGGTTCAGGTAGGAAAGTGCTTATTCAGCCTCAGTAAGGCGAAAACACAGGCTCTGAAATGCGCTCCGAGGATTATAGTAAGAAGTACCCCTCTGAAGGACACGAATACCAGCCTGTTTCTGTGCCAAGATAACCGAGCCGTGTGTCATATTTTAAAGGAAAGGTGTCGGAGGAAAAAGAAAGGTCTCGTTGCTCTGGATCTGCGGTGACTTTGTCGGAATTACAGACTCTCAAACTTTCATCCACATCGCCACTAGTTCTCTTTGTCTGCAGGGCACCGCAGTCGACAGACGTCTCTTTTTCGGTTTGGATTCCTTTGGAGTTTCAATTCCACCGGCTGCCATGAGAATCAAGAATCTGGACTCAACCAGACAATGCAGGGTGTGGGGAGAAATTGGCTCCTGAAAAAGTGGGGAGATGAGGAATAGATAAACTCTGAAAAACAGAGACCTAAAGTGTAGGGAAAACTGTTTGCGACGTGCATTTTCTGCAGCAAAGTCTTGTGCATTGGCGCGTTGTAAATTAAACAAATCTTCAATAACAGACATAACATAAGGTTGAATTTTTGAAGTAAACAAAAGATAGCAACACCATCGTCTTTTAAGACTATTAGCTTGCAGCAGTATTAACCTAAGTATCTATGCAGAGGTGGAAAAACACCAGAAGAACAAGTACCAGTGCACAAAACAAACGATCCAGAATTTGACTTCATTTCATGGGGCCTTTCAAACCTTTTCTTTTTATCTTTTACCTCTTAAAAGAAGGGAAAATGCTTAATATATAAACGCTAACCGTGCCTGTTATCAAAGCAAAAATGTACCAACTCTGCTCATGCCCAAACCCAAGATAAAAAAGCAGGTTTTGTGATCATTAATGGCATGTTTTGAGTTTAAAGGCGTAATCTTAAATCTATAAGCTCAGAGCTAAAGTCATTAAGTACCAGCCCAGATTATTACACGATGAGTAAATTACTTTTATTAGTCAACCGTAAGTCGTTGGTTTCGGCACAGTTCGTCTAATAAAGTCCTTTTCCCTCTCTATTTCCCTTCCCCGCAGGAGACGACACGCCCAGACCTCTCTGAACCAGATGTCCGAGGACTCTGACTTGTTGCGGCTTCGCTGGGAAAGGAACTCACAGCGAGTGTTTAATGTGGAGCGCCATGTTAAAGTCAACAAACTTGAAGGGCGCTGGAGGTGTGTTTACAATCTCTCCCCCACCAAGCGAGAAGGTGCTACCGGTGCGAGAGCTTTTGGGGAATACGTGTATTTAGATAGAGGACATTTTTACTTTTATTTATTGAACCAAGGGGAGCTCTAGAGGCATGCCTGCACTCTCTCTAACCGTGATTGTATCTTTGAGTGTGTGTGAGGAAGAGACGGTTGAGGAAGCCGGGTGCAGGACCTCATATAAATCAGCTCATAGGTTGAAGCGTGTAGGTGAGCCGAGTGTCAGTGTGCTGATGTAAACAGGGCGCGGGGTGCATGAGGCACACTGGATGGTGGTTTGTTATGTGTATGTAACACGCTGCTCCGGCCTGGCCTGTCTGACTCCCATCTGGAACAGGGTTGACAGAAAAGTTGACAGATGCTTCACCAACGTCCATTATTTATGAGTCTGAGGAGATCCACACTGCATGTCTCTGGCGTCTGCTACTGTAGGTCGAGTTCTGACATGGTATTGTGTATGTGTGTGTGTCCACGCGTACACACATACATCCGCATGCTTTCTTGTGTTAGCGGTGCGAGCTGATGAGTGGGGAGCTCCGGGCTAGTGTTGTGCCGTTCATGAGAACCGAACTGCTGAGTGAACGACGAATCACTCCGAGGTCTGATTCGTTCTTTTCTCGGTTCAGCTGAGCTCAGCCGAGAGCCTGGCGTGCCGGTCATTACAGGGCCTTTACATTAATACACGTATATAAACTTTCCTGTAAGAAGGGTTTTTAATCTCTAAACTTTTCTGCGATATAAAAGAATGACGACTTGCACTCTTTTAGCGGGCGTGCCACTTGCTGTGTTGTTTCCACAGACGGCGACACACACAGAGGCGAGTTTTTCAGGGCAGGGGAGCGATTCTTTCTTCAGGACTAAGCGAATGAATGACGTGTGTCACATAGTGAACGACGCTGTGACTTCAGCAGCAGTTGAAATCTTGAGGACAGTTAACCTGCACTGATCTTTTTGTGAATGTTAGTAGAATGGCTTCTGTCTGTCTCAGAGATATTTTTAGCTTTTATTGTGCTGGGACGTTATTGTGGCGACAGATGAACACAGAACACGTGTTTTAGTCGACATCATCCTTCTTTTAACCGAAATAATTACAGATAACTGACTTTCCTTTTCTTTTTGGCAACAAATCTTCATCTAAGGTGGTTTTCTATTGTTCGTTTCACATTTTGTAATCGTTGTTGTTGTGCCGAGAAACGCATGCCCGCCAAGAATTGCATGCACCTCGCAAAACGCGCATCGCTTAGTAGAGTGGTCCACAGAAAAGTACAATTTAAACCCCATACATTTCTTATTTGTGGGGCTAAACATTGATGAGTAATGTTCTGAAGGTAATTCTCAGCAGTATGCGTTTCTCGGCTCAACACCGGCAGCGCCAGTAACTCACTCCATGTGCAGGGGCGTGGTTTCCTCCTCTCTGATTTTGACTGGCGGCTGGTAGGGTAGTCTGATTGGCAACTGAGTAAATAACAAATATGATTGGTGGATCGCTGCACAGCATGTGCAGGGTCACATGCAGTATATCTCAGTCAGAGTTCAGAGTTGATTCTCCTCCTTCATCACAGGCTCTGCAGTGTGACTATCACACACACATACATCACGATGACGATGCTCAAACGATAAAATCGTGCAGCCCTAGATTCAGTTCAGTCTACAGAACTGTTCTTCCCATCACTACTCCGTGTACAGGTGCACTTTTTCGTGTGTGCTGATACCAACCCCGAGTCAGCACTCCATCTGCCTCTGTGTGTCCAACCCTTGACCTCTGGAGTGTCACTAAATCCCTGCTAGACAGTCAGCCCCTTCAGCCGCATGGAGGACCTCACATCGGCTCTCTTAAAACCCACTTAGAGGCTTACAGCTGGGAGGCCCGACCACCGGATTGAATTAAGGCTATGATTAATTGAATTCTAGTGGTGAGTAACTTGAGTGACTGATGTCTCGCAGGACCAAAGGTCTAGACACAATACTTCAGAATAAAGCTCTCCTCATTCATTCAGTGACATCACAGGCGGTTTCAGAGCGCCTCAGGCATGGATGGTTGCCTCTAATATTATTGCTCTGAGTGCCGCTTGAAGCCCAATACCACCGGCAGCACTGCTTCTGCCGCCGCCGAGTGTGCCAATGCTAATAAGAAGCGCAATATAATTAATACAAATGGAATGTTTAATGCAGTTTTTCCATTTCAAAGAATTTCCCCGGGCGTCTTTGCCAACAACCCTCTTGCATTGTCCCCGGGCAAACAATAACCCAAGTTTGGCATCACCTTCATGAGATCAAACTCAATTATTTCAGAGTGCATGCGGCTCCTCTGACACACACACACACACACACAAACACACACACACGCACGTCCGCACACTGGAGCTCCACTCAGGCAACTTGATCGTCCTCCAGCAGGTCCTGCCCCATTTGTGTTTGATGGACAGCAGCGTCGAACGGTAATTGGAGGCCTGAGAGACCTGCACACATCCGTTTGTCAGTTATTCATGTCAAAGCATGGTGTGCAGCTGTTGGGGTTCTCGGAGAATGACCTTTCCCTCAAAGGGGACAGGTTCCTCCCCCCTCCTGCCTTTGAGACGCCTTCGGTTTTATTCAGCCCGTTACTGTAGCATGCTGTTATTACTGCATGTCCCATGTTGCGCCAGAAATCAAGTATTGTGTCCTTCCCCGAGGAGCCCGCGGTCCCAGAACGGTCCCCGCGCTTTGATTCAGCAGGTAGTTTGCGCGGGGAGGTCTTCCCATTCCCCCCTCTGCTCACAATGAAGCATCCAAATGTTTTGAGAGGTGGCAGAACAATGGCAGAAACCTCTCTTTCACACTCCGGGGATTGAGAATAAATAGGACCTTTGCTGTTGTGTGTTTGCCTGTTCATTTACAGCACCTCAGAATACAGCTTGCACATTGTACCTCTGCAGGAAAAAAAAAAATGAAAAGAGAAAACTCACAAAGGCATTCTGCGGGACAATGGCGCGGCGGAGGAAACGGGCGCACAATGGAGTCCAGATATCATTCACAACACAGACAGGAGACCATTATCCTCAGAAGGAGGGGCCCATCTGAAGGTGACAGGCTCGGGAGACGGAGGAATTGTGCACACGCTTCTGCCACCAAGACAACAGCCTCCCTGAAGTCTAACCTATAAGGACAGGTTTTTGCAGCGCCAATGCCCGCCGGGTTGAGGTGTTACACGTCATCTGCAATAACCTGGATCATTACTCCTGGAGGCTGTTAGAGGGGAAAATCACATCACTCTGCTTTCAGCGCTGCCAAGAAAAATTGACACGCTAAGAGTCACACCACCTCAATATGCGCACGCACGCTCAAAAGGCCGCGCAAACGTCCTCCAAACAAACACACACACGTGTAATTACACACCTGCAATCTATCACATACTGTCAGTGGCGTCTGGGGGGTTAAACATGGCAAGTGGCATCCCAGCAGCATCCCGTCAGCGAGTGTTGCCTGAAGCTGACAGCTCTCACTGCGGCGGCCTCGCAGGAGTAAAGTAAGCATCATTATCGCCATCCGGCCGCCATACCTCGCTCTGCTCCGAACGCGCTCTTTGGAAGTTCTTTTATCCACCACCTGACCCCTTTTCCTGCACTCTTTCTTCCATCTTCATTGTACTCCAGTCAGGCGCTAATGCTCCTTGTCCCGTGGCTGGACTCTCTGATCTCCTATTACCCTCTCGTCATCCTACAGTCAATATTATCCCCCCCCTCCTCACCTCCCGTCACGACCAATCCTCGCCCTCGCCTTCCCTCTGCTTTCACAAAAATCTCAAAAGTCAGACAGACGTCATCGCCCCCTCTGCCTCACTCCTTCATGCACTTGCTCGTCTTCCATACACTTATTAACTGGCTGTCATGTTCAGCAGCCTTCCCCAAGACAGTGTTTAGCGTTCCTCAGTCCACTTACTGCAGCCGGAGTTAAGCCTCTGGGCTTTGCAGAGACAGGAATCCAACTAGAGGGGGGAAGAGGCAGGACCTGCGGACATGATCTGTCTGCTGTATTCACTCACACTCCTCTTCCTCTTCCTCCTGGATGCTTTTTTTTTTTACTTGCCTGTATTAGTTGCTACAGTTTTGCAGCAAAGCAGATGACCAGAGTTGATCATAAATCCTGAATTTGTTCAGGCCTTGAAGAGTTTCCAATTTGCTCATGAAAGTTTACCGAAAATTGAACATTTCCTCGTATTTTAACATTTTTACTCTCTGAAGGACTTGATACTGACTCTCCAAGGTATCAAAGCTTTAACAAGTTCCTTTTCAGACACAAACTTGATGTTAAAACTTTGGCACAAAACATGTGTGCTTTAAGTTGAAAAAGTAAGGAGCACACAAAGAACTCAATTTTAGGTCAATTGGTCACATGACATGGAAGCTATTGAAGGAAAACAGCCTTTTTTGAGAATATCAACCAGTAATTTATTGATGGTCCCTTATTCATCCCCCAACGCTAATTTTTTTTAATCCCCTAAATATATTTTACAATTCGCACACATCTATTTTTAGTCGCTAATGCGAGTGAAACGGTCGCACTGTCGAGCCCTGAGATTCATCTTTAAACTTTAGCGATAAAACTTTTAACTTTTAAGGAACTTTTTTAAGGTTTTGCACCCCCACTCAGAGCACTTTTGGTCACACCCTTCCATTCACACCACATTCACACGGAGAGTGCTATTGTTGGGGACCATCAGTATTAATAATCCATATGCATTCAAACACCATTAACCGTGTCACTGGGAGCTATTTGGGGTTTGTGCCCGAGGACTTTAGACTTCCAGCTGTGAGGTGACCCTCTCTGAAATAATAATCAATCGATAAAAGTATGAAATTTGTTTTATAATGAGAAAATTAACATGTTTATACTACATTATATATACTATGTAACTATTTTGTGTTGTATATAGTGTACATACTTGTATATTATCTCTTTATTTTTACTTATTCTATCCATTATTTATCTCCTGTTTTTACTTTATTTGCACTGGAGTACTGTGACAAAAAGCCATTTCCCCCTGAGGATTATTGAAGTATTTCTGATTCTGAATCTGATTTTGATTTCAGATTCTGTTGGACATATCGATCCATATGACAGAGGGGGACGATGGGACAAGACAGTGGGAATGACGTGTCGACAACAAGACTACAACCTCCGTTCATGGGGCGCACCCTCTGAGAAGGTGGGCTTTCACACTCTGGAACGATATTCTTTCCATCGAACCCCTCTGCGTACCATGACTCCTCACCAGCTGCCCGTATCCTTCCTTCTTCTCTTACTATCACAGTTTCTCTTGGCGATTCATAATACCGCCTTAATTACTTTACCAGCGGTGCTCTGTGTGATCCCTTCTCTCACTCGCCCATTACTCGATGTAGAGTTACATCAAATTCACTCTCTGAGTCTCTAAAGTCAGAGGAGTCGTAAAGAGGAGAAAAGTTGGGATGGTTTTAAGGGCCCATAACTGAAGAGGCCCTTAAATGTATTAAGACAGTTTTAGTCGTTAAGGACCCTGGTCCGTGTATTATCCGTCCATCCAATTCTTCCATTCTATCTAGTAAACGAAAAATGAAAAAACAAGTCAATATTTTGTTTATTTGTTTTTCTGTATAACCAAAAAAATAAGAGATTAGTGTTTGTTTTTGTATTTTCAGCTCATTTACTTATTTACAATTATTGATTTAGAGTGCGCCTGTTTTGAGCGTACGTGCATGGAGGCTTCATTGGCCTTCCCATGATCCTCAGCTACATTTACCATGGCGAAAGATGCGACAGAGCGGTTCGAGCGCCAAAATCTTATGTTGTAACCGAGCTCTGGTTGTAATTTTTTTCTACAGTCATATCTTCCTCCTTCAGCGTGACCCTCCTGGCATCCATCTCCATGACAACAGGTTAGCCTTTCTCTACCGCTCTGGCCTGGAGTTTTTTGTCCACGTTGTCAGCGACTTTGTTGTGAACAGTAGAAAGGCATTGAGGGAGATGGGGACATCAATAACCCGAAAATGAAAGGTAGATTTATTATTTTGTTTTCATTTCCGTCTCTTATATATTCAGTTTTGAACGGAAAATATGAAAACAAACAAACTAATCTTTTATTTTTTGGTTATATAGAAAAACAGATAAACAAAATAATGACTCGTTTTTTTGTTTTTCGTTTCAGACCGACCCCGTCTACAGTGTTGGATAAATGTTTTGTTTTCTTCCAGTATCTTTAAATACCTCAAAAAGGTCAGGCTGGTTTTTCTAACTTTTGCTCTTATCATATTTTTTAATTTGAGATCTTTAGGATTATGCAAACCAAAATCTCCCCCATCTAGGTCACAACTAAACCTCCGCTCCCTGGGTTTTCATCCGTTTCACATCCCGTGTAACGTTACTCCAGGACACGACCCCGAAAGAGGAAGTCGTCAGCTCTCTGGGTTTTAATTATAGATCTGTTTAAACAGGATCATGTTTAAACAGACGTCCTGGAGCTCCATCAGTAAAGGGTTAAATTATTTTCACTCGAATGTAAATCAGTCAGGTTAAATCTACCTTTGCTGAGGAAGTTTCATCGTCACCCCTGTTAGTTAATCTGTATATCAGCAGGGCGTCTGAAAGAAAAGGAGCTAAATTTCCATGAAATTTGGTGGCAGGATCAGCCTCCAGCCAAGCGAGAGTTGATTAGATTCTGATAGTGATCTGGATCTGTGATTTCCACTATTAGATGATTATTGTTTTTTTTTTCTTTCCCTCCACATATTGGATATAGAGATTTAATTCCAAATCCAATCCAAACCCTAACGCTACACTCGCAGGGTCAAGAAATCGATTTCACCTTAAATTTAAGAAAGAATGAATGTTCAGCGTCCTTGAAGGCTGCTTCCTACAAGTTTTTCTTGCTCATATTTTAGATGACACCCAAACTAGATTCCTCTCCCGGGTATTGTGTTGTAGCTACAATCCTGGGTTTGTCATCCACCCTCCTCCTCTTCCCGGGGCAAATAGCGTAAGGAATGAGACGTGGCTGGTGGATATACTTTCATGGCCCCGCTTTACCAGTGTCATTCCCGCATCTCTGAAATTGTGCCATGGTCTACAGGGCTTTGTTGTAAATCACTATCTCTCACTGTCAGACTGCAGTTTGCTGTACTCTGTGCACGCCGGGCTTTCTACAGCCTCCTGGGTGACTAATATATCTTGTTAAATTGTGCTGAGAAGCGTGCGGAGAACTGTACACCTTCCTTCTTTGTACTCTGTTTGTTTGCTTGCGTTTCTGCCGACTTCAAAGTGTGTGTTCGTCCGCACGGGTGTCCACATTTCCAGCATGAATAGGTAGGTTGGTTGCGATGCTACTTCCTTTTTTTTTTAGATTTTTTTGCAAATATGTTCACTAAACTCTGCAAGTCTGTCAGGCTTTGTTGGTAATTCGGTTAGATTGCTATTCGTCCACCAGCACCAGCAGCGCAGTCAGTATCGGGAGTTGTGAAGCTATCTCTCAGCCACTTCATAATTAGAAAAGCTGTGGAGCCAAGCCACAGTTTGAGGGGGAAGAGAGAGAGAGAGAGAGAGAGGGAGAGGGAGTGAAAAAGAAGCTGTTGGCAGACTGCATTATTCAACATTGGCTGCAATTTACTCCGTCTCCCACCCCAAAGACATGAATCTAAGTAATTTCATAGTCACATCCGTCCACATCCGTGTGCCATACTGTACAAACTGGACTCCTCTGTTATCGCCCGGCACTGTTGCACTATCAGCTTCACCCAGCACGGAGAAACACACCTTATCTCAGCCCCAACACTCAGAAAATGTGTATATGTCTGTGTAACTGTTGCACAAAGCAGGGAGAGATAATTACCCATTATAAAGTGAGGTGTAAATTGACTGATCTGAAAGTATTTCACTTCACAGGGAGCTGAAACTGCCCTTTTTTTTAGGAGGGGAAAGAAAGATTCACTCGAGACTAAACCAGCCAGGGTCCAGCTCTAAAATCACTCCTGCTTTAAAGAAACAGTAAAGAAACAAAAGGCCAAAACTTCGTAACCCTTGTTCGATTTTTAACATCCGAATCACCGCCTCTTTGTTTTGAAACAGCTAGCTTACATGGTGGTTGGTTGTTATGGTTGTCCGAAATTCAAAAGTGCATCCATCGGCAGCTTGAATCTCACAGTTTCGTACGAATTAGGGACATTTTGCTCATTTTCAGGCTTTTCTAAAGCTCTGTAGAAGCTTTACATGATTAACAGCTGAAAAAATATTTGCTCTCTGGAAGTCTCCTCCACTGTTGCATCACTGTGAAGTTGTGTTTCTCTGTTCAAGATGTTGCAAGGTGTTTCTGACCCAGAAAGGGACAAAATCGTGATCGGATTATTTAGTTACAAGGATGTTAAAAAAACTAAATTCGTCAAATTGATTTTCCTCTCTATCATGTCTCGTACCTCCAGGCCACCGTAGGCCACCCAGTTCCCACACACACCAGTGTAAACAAACATGGTGTTTGCAGAAGAAGGCGATTATTTCGTGGTTAAACAGGACAAGACCAAGTGAGTCGTGGGGAATTGGTACAACTTCGCAATTTCAGAAGAAAGTCTGTCTGAAGGCGGAATCAACCCGTCCACACGTAGATGAATTCAGGAGTAAACGCAAAAGTTTTTACGGGTCAGAGAGTGGATTTCCGTATCTCTGGAAACGATCATGTGATACAACAAGAACCGAAAAATCGTCACTGTTGGGGCAGAACCCACAGTTGAACGATACTGAGTGAAACATTGAAGTTTCTTCCTTGAAACTCCTGAAGGTACAACGTCTACCTAAGATGCCACTCTTTGAGTTGGATCTGTTATCACAAATCTCCTTTTAAATGAATAAATGTAATCTTTTTTTAATTATTACCTCCTCCTTTATGAAGACAACCCTTTTTAATTTGATGATTCATGATGGGTTTTATTCCATTTTAATCCATTTCTTCTCCTTACATGTGAATAGAGAGGTAAGAGGGAGTAGATTATATTTCCTGATTATCTGACTGAATTTACCTCCGAGCTTCGAATCGAGAGACTATAAAAAGAAAAGTTTTAATAAAAAAGGAAAATCCTCTCTGTGATGAGGGTTGACCTCCACCGGGAAGGTCGTGGTCATGATACCAAAATAAAACGCTGTGGTTTTTCCACTCGTTTGTGTACTTGTGGGTGAAAAATGCGTGTTTCCTTATTCTGGCTTCTGTGCAATTACAGTTGTGACTGCTCCATAAATAGGCGTCTCTGAAGGGAATCTGTCTCATTACTAAGAGGCCAGTTATTAACTCTCCATTGTGCCTGCAGGAAATTTGCACTAATGGTCATGAGAAGCTGCAAGAAATGAAACAGAGAGTCACGGTATATGGGAGGGGGAATAGACGCCGCTCGTGCCGTCCTTCATGAAACAGTCCAGTCAAGTCTGGCCTCTGCAGCAGGGAGCATCATAATGAAGGAGAAAGAAAGAAAGAAGTAAAGAAAGGGAGAGGACCAGCTGTTTGTAAGACTCGAGCAGCCTCTCCAGATAAGTATTTGGCACGAGGAAATCTTTGCAGGAATCCCGGAGCACTTGCAGCAAAAACAACGTCATGATTTATTATCACATCATGCAGACCGTGACTAATGCACTCAAACAATCAAGGTGCATCTAGTGAACTACAAAGCCCAGGGGTGCTCTCTCAGTCTGCCACTGACTGCCACTGACTTCAAACATTACCAGCACACACACACACACGCACACACACACACACACGGCACATTAGAGCCACTCGCTGCGTGCATGTAGGTTCAACAAATGTCTGCAAGTATCGGCGGAGGAAAGAAGGCCGCGGACATTCCCACAGGGGGTTGGAGAGTGTGGAGTGTGTGGAGTGTGCTCCTCCTCCTCCTCCTCTTCCTCCAGCAGCAGCAGCAGCAGCAGCAGAAGCCACCGTGGATGTGATTTTATTAGCTCCAGATGCCGTCGACCGAAGGACTAGAAAACGTTCGATATTACGAGCAGGACACATCAAAAATGATGCTGCCCATCTGGAGCACAAATAATGTAATCAACTCGGGTCACCGGTCATCAGCGTCGTCTGGCCGCCGGGTAAACCCACCATCATGTGACGTCAGCGCTCGCGGGGACGGACTGGGATTTTGAGGCCGGAGCCTGTCGGACTGTCCCCTAAGCTGCTGCACATGACCCGCACATGGAGACATTTGAGGGGAAAAGAAAGATGCAATGCGAGGGGCTGTCGGTGCCAATGAGAGCTCTGATTTCAAACATGCTCATGGCTCTGATGTGTCTATTGCCCTGCCTGTCAAATCAGCTCTGCCTCCCAACTTTGAACGTCTTTGTACAAACGGTAAACACAGATACATCACATATAGCGTATGATCCCTCACACATGCATGCACAGCCACAGGATCTCCTTTAAATATTCAGCACCTGCCGTGTTTCCTGTTTGACTTTGATCAGCCACAGATTCTGCTCTGTCCCTTTCATCTCTGAACTTCAAAACCAGCCAGTGAAAAACCTGGACCACAAAAACCTGTCCTGGTTCACACAATCTCAGCCAACCTGCTCATAACACACGTGAAGCTCCCTCTGTGTCATCCTCTCTTGTTTGCGAGCTAAAAAGCATGTGTGCAGAGGAGTCATTACTGCAGAAGAAAAGTCCCCGGGTAGTTTGAAAAGTCCCCCAAACAACTTCTTGGCCCGCTTCAGGCGCATTACCTCAGGCGTCCATCGAGCCAGCACAGTAACCAACATGCAGCAATCTGCAGGCAACAGGGGAGGACAGTGAAACTTTCCTCCCTGCACTCAAATTCAATTCTGAGGATTGCACAACACCCCCTCCTTTTTACTTTCCTGTCAATACCTGCAACTTTGAGCAAAGAAGACCAGTTAATTCTTTTATAGCGATTTGCCTGCATTATTCAGAGGGTGCATTAAATATTCACAGCCACATCACTGATATCATCTTGTAGTCAATAACCCTGGAGGACACGTTGGGTTGGAGAACTTGAGTCAACTCCAGGAGTGTTTTCCCAACAAAATAAGGGCCCTTCAGCTTGACTTTTAGCGAGAAAAGGGGGGGAAAAAAGGCAGCAGGGCATCACAGCGCGACTGCAGGCAACCACAGATAGACAGTCATCCGCCTTTATCAGAGCACGCTGTCCCACCTGCATCGATTCGCATCCCGTGGATTTGCCACCGGCTGCAGGGGGATCATCGGTGCAAAAGGGAGGGAGTGGAAAGAAAACTGCTCCACATAGGCTTTAAGTTTGATGAGGAAAAATCAAGAAAAAATGCGCGTTTAGAGGCCGGGATGTGCACGCTTGCATCAGTGGAGCGCGTCAGGGGCGAGCGTACTGCGCCGAGCAGGACCTTTGTACCAAAAGAGGGCACGTTTAGTTGCTGCACTGACGAAAACACGCGAATTAAACACGGGGACGTTTAGAGAAATATTAGAGTTTGACTGAGGATTGACCCTCGCTGTGACTTAAACGCGAACAACTTCCCGATTCCAACTCATTCCTCATGCAAAACCCCGGAGCAAATCCAATAATTACTCGATTTCATTAGAATCTACACAAGAGATGAAGCTCTTATATAAGACACGCAAGTATTTCGCATTAGTGTGTGTGTGAGAGAGGAGCAACCTAGAATAACCTCGGCTCGGACATTTCCAGATATGCTCTCTGCAGAAGAACTAAGTGCTCTCCCTGCTCCCTCAGACGCGAAATGTGCCAGAAATAGGCGCAAATCTCCACAGCAAGTTTAAAGCAAAGACTCGGCTCACCTGATAATGAAGTTTTATTCTAACGAAGGCAGTTTTTTTTCCACCTCGGGCGTAGCGTCGGGGTGCAGAGTGTATCCGTTCGCTGCAGCTTTTTGTTGCCCGTTGTTCCACCTCAACTGCGCGTCTCAGTCGCGCTGCATCACTTCTCGCTGTGTGTGGATGTCAGGGAGGCTGAGAGGCTGTGAGGGGACTCAACCCTCCCATTGGCTGCCATTCACAAGTCCCCGGTAGAAAAAAAAGGAGGGGAGGAAAGAGGGGGAAAAAAGAGGAGAGAAAAAAAACGACCGAGCGATAAAAACAAAAGGAAGATGGAATAAAGAGGAGATTAGAGCTCCGGTGAGGGTGGTGCGTTTCAACTGCCAAGCGGTGTTCAAGTTTAATAATAAGGAGCCAAAGCGGTTTCTGTGCACGCGCTTTTCTTCGCATTTGCATAATCCCTGATTAATAGTTGCAAAGTCAGAGGTTGAGTGTGGGCTCGAGTCAATCAATGAGGGCTATTTTTGTCAAAGCCTCCGGTTAGACTCCCCTGCTTCTTAGTAAACAGAGGAAAAACCGCAGATCATGTGTGATTACAATGGCTTAGAGTTAAACACGAGCAGATTTGGTTTGTATGCATGTTAAGACAAACGAACATGTGTAAAATATAATCACGCTGCGTTACCTCTAATAGTAGTAATTATAAAGACCTCAACAGGATCACGTAGTGGGAGCAGTCTTACATTTCAGTTGTTTTTTATTATGTACCCAGCAGACTCTCAAACAACAGTGAAGTTATGACACTTTTATTCTGTAAAATACTATTTGTAAACCTTATTAATATGTCAATGTATGACCATAAAAGATTAAAATATATGTTCCCACACAACTACACATTAGTCAGTCTTAAAGGGATATTCCAACGTAAAACTAATTTGGGGTTAAACACACGAAACACCGAGTTAGACACCACCTTGAGAGATGAATGTTGTTGACCGCTTGAATCTCTAGTTATACCAGCTTTAGTAACGACCGCAGATAGCAATACACAAAGCCACGCGCTCAACCAAAACGCCACTCTATAGCCACAAATAATGCTCAGAACAGCACCTAACTTCATCAACAGGACATATAGGGTCACAGCCATAGTACTAGACACCAAACATCTTTTTAACTTCGACAAATTTCTTTAGCAAAGAGACTAAACACAACTCATCTACTCTCTTCCAGCAGCCGCTTGTTTGTAGGCCAGTCCATTACGGACTACAGCGGGGTGACGCAGCTCAAGGAAGAACATTAATGATAATTTCTTCATGGAAATACAATCAGACCAAGATGCTAAGGCAGAAAAACTACTGGGTCTGATAAAGAAATGATCATAAATGTTCTTCCTTGAGCTGCATCACCCCCGCTGTAGTCCGTAATGGACTGGCCCAAGGTTTAACATCTGTGGCCTGAGTTTCCTCCTTTGGCCAGCATCACTGGCAGGGCATAGCTACTGACTCTTTAGGACCGGCCTTACTTGCTTCAGGTACTTGGCCTTCCCTAGTGGGTATCATTTGTATCACTGCATTCACATTGGCTCAGCAACATCCATCTCTCGAGGGGGTGTCTAACTCGGTTTTACGTGTGTTTGACCCTAAATTAGTTTTACCTCGGAATATCCCTTTAACATCCTGTACACGATCCTTTATTATGTTAAGTTTACTCACAACAGTACAATCTGTAAGACTTGCTTTTTCATATAACGAATAATCTAAATCTAAATGTATTGATTCTGTGATGACACTAAAAAAAGTGTGCAATAATCAGCTGCAAATCTTCAATGTGCATTTTTATCCCATGGAGAATGGACGATGACTTTAGCATCAACCACAAGTGCCGGACACAGATGTTTACGTTGGCCAAGATGAAGGATAATGAGGGCAAGAAAAGAGGCTCTAAAGAGGAGGAGGGTCCAGCTAATCTGCATTAATACTACAGATAAATCTCATGTGCTGAGAGAACGTGACCTCAAACAGAGCTGGTCTGGCCTATATTCTTAATTATTCTTTGTTAGCTCTTTATTATATCGTGTGTTTCTCTGGCCAATGTTCTTGACTGCTGTTAGCTAGAAGGAGTTATTTGTTGCTGTTCAATGTAAAATGAATGAATGTATTGTGTTGATTCTGTTATTTGACCTCTTTAGCTGACAGAAAGCTACTTAGATATTGAGTTGTACTAGTTGGGGTGGCAGTAGCTCAGGAGGTAGACCTGTCAGCCAATAACTGGAGGGTTGGCGGTTCGATTCCCCCCTGAGCACTACATGAAATCTGATGCATTACTATTATTATTAAGACACTTAACCCACCTTGTTCTCAGTGTGTGTCCTCCACTGGTGTATGATTGTGAGTGTTGTTTGGGGTTGGTCGGTCTGAGAGGTCATAGGTGCAAACTGGCGGCCACTGCTGTGACTACTAAGGTAGTTAACCACCACCAGGGTGTGACTATGTGAGCAAATGAATGATGTATCCAGTATAAAGCGCTGTGAGGGTCTCTGATAAAGCGCTATATGATATCTGATGCATTATTAGTTGAACCAATGTTGATTTACAGCTGACAGGCAGCTGCTAACCAGCAGGAGTTATGTAAACTGAATCTCCTTCAAGATTTGGAGTTTCTGATCAAGCTTCGTCAGCTGAGAGAAGGCAATCTGTTTATTTTGCTTGTTTATTTTGTTTTATGGGTCTAATGCTGCTGCTAGTAGGCAGCTGCTTGCTAGCAGCAGGTGAGTGTGGCTGTTTAAGTTAGTTAAATCAGATTTAAACATGGGAAATGGCATCATTACCTCAAAAGATTACTTCTTATGGGTTTTGCTGAGTACTTTAGGCTAATTGTAGCGACCGCTGGCAGGCAGCTGCTAGGTAGCAGGGATTGGGTGTTGCTGTTAAAAGATAATATGTAAATCTGCTCGTCCAATGTCAAGAGTTTCCTCATCTGTACTTTCTTGTACAAGTTTTCAACCTGGTCTTTACACCCGGGATAACAATGCTAATTAGCCTGCTCATATATAAAAGGCCTCAACAGTTTTACATTGGTTTATGTGTGTTACTCTCTCCCCAGGTGTTATTATTGCTACCTTTGTTGCTCTGTTTTTTTAAGCTAATTAAGACATCATGTGACTCGTACACTTCCCCCTATTTTGAAGACAAATCTTAGCGGGGTAATGATGAAATTGACAGCAACTACATGTAAGACCTCTAATTGTTGGCATGAGGAACCACAAGCGGAGGTATTAAATGTCTTTTAACACAGAGTACATTAATATCAGCGTGTAAAACAGTCTTATGAAAAGCCCTTGATTGCCTTGACGTATCTGCTTTTCAAAGATCACTGATTTACAAAGTAGACAGGTGCAACTAAAGAAGTGCAACAACTCTGCTGAAATAAATATTAAATCAATGCCTCCGTCAATCAAAGCTTTGTTGTAATTTCAGAGACATTTCATCAGCTAAGAGTTCAGGTAGTTGGTGCGCCACATGACCAAAATATTCCAGGTTATTAGGTACTTGTAGCTGTGAATTAAAGCGCGTTAATACAACAATCCTGGAGGGTAGTAGATTTCCCTATCATTAAGAGACATGTTGATTTAACTTAATGATCATTTAGGAGGCTACACGGCACACTCTGTTGCTTTATTTTAAGAGATGAAGCAGTGATTATGACAATTCCAACAATTACTGCCAAATAAAAAGCAACACGAGCCGTATATTCTTGGCTTTTTGCTCGCTTTAGCTTCCCCATACGGATCCAAAACCTCATACCTAGCTGTCTGGAGCTCGCTCAACTGTTTTCAGCCGTTGTGGGTGGGTGGGTGGTTGCCATAGCTATGATTTGAAAGTGAGACTTTCTGAAGTGAAATCATAATCTACATGCACGGTTGATGTCTATGGCTGCTAATGATGTCAGAGTCTTTTTTGGAGGAGAAGGTTAGAGGGAAATCTGATTACTGACCGAGCCTGTAAACTGCAGGGGTTTACAGTAATCAAACTAATGCAGCGTAAATGCTTTATCCAGTGCCTGGCCTTGATCAGATTACACTCTGTAATCTGTTATATTTTATTTATACGTGAAGATATACACGTAACATGCTCCTCAGCACAACTTCACTGTTTTCCTGTGTACCAGGCGCATGTTAAGCGTTACATCTGCAGCGAAGAAAGGAAATTTCAGGCATCACATGAGCCACAAAAATAAAAAATGTAGCACGCTGTCTCATGAAAAACATGAGTCACATGGTTGGAGGTTTTGGACTCGCAGTGTGGGGGGAAAAAAACATAAAAGTAGCTTACAGAGAGCCTAAAAGCATTCACAAAAATAGATTTCAATAGAAGTTGTTCTTACTAAGATACTAATTGCTCATTCTGGTGAGAGACGATGAGTAAAAATGTGATTGATTGAAATTTAAAGCTCCAATGAGTTATTTTTTTGTGAGACTGAAATTTATTCTGATTCCAGATGAGGACATTTAGAGCATTAAAGACTCTAAACAGCTCAGAGATTAGAGATAGGAGGTACTGCTTTGTCCACAGGGGACAACAAATCACCAAACCAGGTTTCTCACGGGGACTTTAAGTGTTGTTTGAAAATCTCATCTCACTGGGAAGAATTACAAGCCTCAGTTCACATATCTGTTGTAGATTTAGATTTGTGTTTGCTTTTCAGTTCAGTCCATGCAGAGCTTTATATGTCATTGGCGTACAGTTTGGAGGAAATAAAGAGGACCAAGGATGGCGCCTTGAGGGACTCCGTACATCGAAGGTCCTCCTGGTTATTCAGCTGTAAGTGTTCTTAGGGTATGGTTAGAGAGAAACAAAGAGGACCGAGGATGGAGCCTTGAGGGACTCCATACACTGAAAGTCCTCCTGGTTATTCAACTATAAGTGTCATCAGTATACAATAAGAGGAAAACAAAGAGGACTGTGGAGTGAGCCTTGAGGGACACCACATGGTAAAGTTCCTCTTGATGTTCAAAGAGGACAGAGATTTTATTCGACTCTAACACAGAGATGGAGAAGAAGACGCTGCAAAAATAAAGATCAGAACATTCATCAATCAAATAAAAACATATTCTGATCAATCCAAAAGTCTCGTCGTATCTGTGTGTCATAAAAGTGTGTCATATCTTCTCTCATATTTCTCACGATATCATCCTCATATCTCTTTATATACTTCTTTATAGTTTTGCTTTAGTAAAGGTAAAAAAAAGCATCTGGAAGTGTAATTGTTTTTGCTGAAATAATTGTGATTTCATAAAAGACAGAGCAGCGCTGTCTAGTGATGACGGGATAATGGAATTATCATGAGAGTTAAATACTTGATTTCTTGATAATGGGATAATTAAGCTGTGATATTTTCATTTAAGTAAATTATGCATCACCTGCTCTTTACTGATATACACCTTAATATGATTTTATACTGAGAGAAAATGTTCTTTAGATTTAAACACACTAGAATGTGAATTCAAAACTAAGCAAAGGTTTCTTGGTGAATAAAATCCAATCATATTTATTATAAGCTACATTTACCAAACAGGGCACAATGACTGTTTTATTATAACAAAGTGAATAGAATAAAAATATTTAAAAAGGAGAACTTTCAGCGCGTGCAGATGGCCGAGTGGGTTAGTGCGCCCCACGTATGAGGACCATGTTCCCTGCAGTGGTCGTGGGTTTGAGTCCGACCCCAGCCATGTGCTGCATGTCCTCCCCCATCTCTCTCTATCTCCCTATCCTATCAATAAGAGGGAAAAATCGTCCCAATAAATAATAATCCTCATTTAAAAACAACAGATTTCTCACCCCATCAGCATATTTATTTTCTCTTTTAAAGCTCATTTTTGACTTGTTAAATCTTAAAAAAACACATTTTTCTCGACTTGACTTGTGAATGTTGTGTACACTGAGAATAATATAACATTGATACCAGAAACATGATAAAAACACATGCTTACTTTGGAGTTTTTACAGTGTACATAAAGAACAAAGGAATATTTCATCGCGGTGTTGAAAATAGATCTGAATCACGTCCAAAATCAGAGCTCGTTCTGCGCTTCATCATGTGTGTCTTATCATTTTCAAAGCACAGCTTAAGCGAAACTTGATCCCCCAAACATATGCCACGTCTAATAAAAATGTAGCACACCCCAAACGTGCAACATGAAGATGGAAGGAGAGTCTGCGGGCGTTTATGCTTTTATGGTTTCAGTTTTTTTCCCTAAGCCAAAGACCCCACGCTGTGCATGCGTTACCACCCATGCAGTGTTTGTGTCATGATGACCACTGGCTGCTGCTAGATTCATGAGTTTAATCCCTGGAAGCGCTCCAAGCATCCACTTTGCTGCTGCCCTGTCCTCTCAACCAAACATCAAACTCTTGCCTATAGCGCAGAATGCAGCGAGCCAAAGGGATGTCTGCATTTGGCATCAAGTTCTATCAGGAGATCAGCCCGAGATGAATAACCGCTGCCCTTGACTGCATCATTGCTACCCAATGAGCTTACACTGCCTCAGTATTTTGTGCAGTTTATTTAACAGCCTGCCTCCGTAAACACATCACAGCAGAAAGAGAGAGAAAGAGAGGGAGAGAGAGCGGACAGCAAACACCAATTTTGTCCCAATGTGTCATAACTGCAACTTGTTGGGAATAAAACGCAGACAGTTGCCTTACATTGTAATTAGTGCTTTTCGCAAATGAACACTTACAAATTCTACAGCAGTAATATACAACAATAATGATCCAGGCTATGATTTTAATTTCCTCGTACATC